GGTGGAATCATGACCTAGTGTTTATGTGGAGATTAGGCATGGTTTAAAATCTGGATTATCAAGTTGACAAGGAGTGGGATGTGACATTATGGTGGGTGTCAACTTGGTTGGCCTGAGAGCTGCTCAGGGGGTTAGTGAAGTACACTTCTGAATGTCGAGGTGGGTCAGGACCCAGGGCCAAATTACAGCTCTTCTCCTTGAAATTGTGGTTATCAGGTATTTTATCCCAACAGAAAAGCTAATATACTGTCTTTTTGTTATTGCTAATCATTCTTTTATGCACTGTTTCTCCCTCCTTTATTCATCTAACCTGTGGCACACATTCCAGTAATCTTTTTCAGCGAGTTGTTTTGGGTTTTTGAGACAGGGTCTTGTATGTAGTCTTGACCTTGACTCTCCGGTCACTGTGTAGCCAGGCTGGCCTCAGATGCTTTGCAGTCCTCCTGCCTCAGCTTCCCAAGAGGTGCGATTACAGGCATGTACCACCACCCCCACCCTTGGTGAGGGTCTTTTAGACTGAAGTCTCTCAGTCTTTGAAAATGTCTTTAGTTTACTTTCATCTTGAATGCTAATTCAATTAGAAATGTGACTTAGATTAGGTTGAAATTTATCTTATTTTTCTGGCTCCTGTGGCTGCCAGAGAACTTCTACTGCAGTGTCATTTTTGTGCAGGGGAATCTGTCTTGTCTTTGTGGTTGATTTTAAGGTTTTTCTCCTTGCCTTTTTCATTCTGCAGTATTTTCTATCTTTGATTTATTGCATTTCCTGAAGTTGAGGGTCTGTTGTTATTCTTAGCCATTATCACTTTTAATATTGCCTTGTTCCTATGCACTGTTTCCCTCCTAGGATGGATTTCTACTGTGTGTAAATTGAATTGTCATTCACTCTGCCATGCCTTTTAGCACATATTTTTCCACTACACCACTCTTGGTAATTTCCCTAGCTTCATTTTTGTAGTTTATCCATTCTCTAATTCTTTGTAACCACTCAGTCTTGCCACTAAACTTTTCAGTATTATAATTTTCATTTCTAGAAGTTTAGTTTTTCAGAGGTTAGTTTCCTTCTCTTAAATGTTGTGACTTCAAATGTACTTTATTTGTAGTTTCTACTTGAAAATTAAATTATCTGAAGTCCTTGGGGAGTTTAATCTCACTGTGTATAGCAACCTTTTCCTTGTGGTGAACTGTTTCCTCTGTTACTTTGAACTGGGAGCTCAACTTCACTGGGGTTTTATATGTGGGTGTCTTGTATGGCTGATTTAAGGTGCAACAATCTAGGAAGAAATTCTCCTTGCCTAAGTACCCAGCCACATCTTTCATTTGAGTGTCATAGGCTTCCCAGACCACACGTGTGGTATAAATGTGAATCCCAAACGTGAGAAGGCACAAGTTCCCAGGAGCTACTTCTGTTCTCTGAGCCCAGGCCAGGCTTGCACTGTACTGGGGGGTAGACCCTTGTTTCTTCCTAGATCTTTCATCAAAGGTGACTCTGGTCTTAGGGCCCCAGGTATCACCTGTAGGGTTCCTGGGTAACCTCTCCAACCCAGCACCTTGGCTAGAGACTAGCATCTGCCTTTATTTCCAGGCAGTCACAGGGTGCTGCCCACACCGTGCTACTCTGTCATTTCTGGTCCGGCTCCCCTGGAATTGCTCTCACTGAACTTTCAGGTCGGCTGTACACCTCAAAGGGTGCTTACTGTGTTTTGTTACCCAGGATCCCTGACGGGGGTGCAGCAATCAGCTAGGTCACTGCCACAGTGCTGGAGATGGAAGTCTAGCAAGGTGCTTCATCTTCTCTCATTATGTCTATTAAAAAATTCATCAAAACTGAACATGAGGGCTGGGGATTTAGCTCAGTGGTTTCACCACCTGCTGCACAAGCGCAAGGACCCGAGTTTGATCCCCGGTACCAAAAAACCCCAAAAAACCGAAAACTGAACATGAGCCGGGGATGTAGCTCAGCAGCACAGGACCTGCCTGGCAAGCGGGAGGTCCTAAGTTCCCTGGAACCAAAAAACCCCGAACATGACACTCAGCTGTGATTGAGCACTGCATATCCTCACCAGAGGGGATTTCTCAAGGTACACCGTACTGTTCTGGGCACCCGTCAACACACCTGATGTTGTCAGCTTGGAGATATTTCTATGAGATATGAGGCAAGGGGGAAAAAGATGAAGGCCCAAGGAACATATAATTCAAGCCCTCCTCAGTCCTGGTTCTGTTAATACATATCTGATCACAGCTGTGTAAGACTGGTCAATTTAACAGACCAGAAGCAAAGCTCGGCAGGGTTAAATAACTCCTCCAAGGTCATTGTATTCAGTTGAATCTGGCTTTAAAAAAATCCATTTCTTCCCCCTACACCAGGGGTCAGTAAAGTCATTCTGTGAGGAGCCGGAGAATAAGTATTTTAGATCTTGCAGGCCGCAGGGCTTGTTTGTTCAGTCTTGTGCTGAACCATTAAAGGAGCCACTGTAAAACAAATGGGCATGGCGGTGTTCCCAAAACACTTTGAGAACACCAAAACTGGATTTCATTGATTTTCACATGACAAAATATACTTGGATGCTGGGTGTGGTGGCACATGCCTATAATCCCAGCACTCAGAAGGCTGAGGGAGGAGGACTGCCCTGAGTTCCAGGCCAGTATGGGCTACACAGTGAGTTCAAGGCCAGCCTGAAGGAATAGTGAGACCCTGTTTTAAAAAAAAGCAAAACCAGGGGCCAGGGATTTAGCTCAGTGGTTCCACCGCCTGCCTTGCAAGCACAAGGTCTAGAATTCGATCCCCGGTACCAAAAAAACCAAAACAACAAAACCAGAAAGAAAAAAAAAAATTGGAACTTTCAATCATATAAAAATGTAAAAGCTATTCCAAAAACAGGCAGCCGGCTGGATCTGGCCCTGGTTTGCCAACCACTGTTCTGCACCACACCCTATTTTTGCAAGCCAGGCTTCCTGTTCTGGGTCAGGAGAGACATGGATGAAAGAGAATGAAACAGCAAGGTGTAGTGGTGGACGCCTAGAATCCCCATACCCAGGGACTGAGAGAGGATCGCCCTGAGTTTGAGGCCAGCCTGGGCTACATAGTGAATTCAAGTCAGCCTGAACTGCACAACGAGACCCTGTGTCTAATCCTCACCCACCAAAATGAGTGGGACAGGGTTGTTTTGGGGCCAAGCTGGTTGGAGGGGTTCTGGTGTATGTGCTGCCCCTTCACACCATGCTGTTAACAATATGCAGTTGTTCCCATGTCTTACTCCAATGTTAAGGATCCTTTCTCATGACTTAGCCTATATTTAGAATGAAACTATGAGTTATTACTTATTTTAAAATGTCCTTTAGTGATTAATAGCTGATGTACAGTAAGTGCTCAGTATTTATTAACTGACAGACATTAGTGAAACGACACCAAACCCAGTGTTCACAATCAATGGGAGCACTCAGTAAGCAGTTCCTATGCACCAAAAGCCAGCAGCAGGCAGGCCATATGTGTAATATAACAAAGCTGTCATTTCCTTTGAATTTAGTATCAATCTGAAGTTTCTATGGCTCTAGCTTTGTTCTTGCTTTGCAGCTGCCCCATTTGCATGTGAGCACTAAGTCTGCCTTTCCTTCCATCCCTAGAACCACTTTGGCGACCTGGATGGTGGCTACTACACTGCTTTCTGCAGGAACTCAGCCACCCAGGCCTGGTACAGCTTTGATGACACTCGTGTCAGTGAGATTCCAGACACTTTGGTTCAAACCACTACGGCCTATCTGCTGTTCTACAGCTGCTAGCCCTTCTCTAAATCTATACAGAAGTGCAAGAGCTAGCAAAGGCTGCTTCCTGAAAACTGCAAAACAAGTGATCAGAAAGTGGTAGTGAGGCTTTGCTTCATCATTAAACTCTTCCAACTTACTTGTACCACTGGTGTCTGTTAACTCTTACCTGCAGCCTTTTTGAGATATGGCTACCGCAGAAAAGATGGGTCTTGGCTTGTGGATAAAGCAGGAAAATAATTCAAAGCCAATGGGTGGGGCCTCAAAGCACTGTGGATTCCACAGTGAGTTCAAGTTCCAAAATTCAGTGTTTATTCGTCCAGATTTCTATCATAAAATATGTTATATACACTCAACAAATTTTTAAAAATGTTTTTGACACAGAATCTCACTATTAGTTCAGGCTGGCCTTGAACTCACTATAAAGCCCAGGTTGTCTTCAAACTCATGGGATTACAGGTGTGTGCCACCACACCTAGCAACAAATTATTTTCTAAAGAAACTTCATAGAGCTACGGCCTGCCCCCAGGCTGGGGGGTAGTTCAGTGGTAGTGCCTGCCTAGCGTGCAGAGGCCCTGGGTTTGAGCCTCAGCACTGAATTTTTTTTTGTTCAAATAGCTCTGTCAGCTTTGGAGTGTGACCTAAAAACACTGAATTGACAATGATTTAGCCAAGATTCCAACGCCTTTTGAGCTAGCTACAGAACACAAAGGTGTCAGCTTCGCCATTCAAAACCCAGGCTCTCTCGGCCCTCCAAGGTGCACTCACGTGGCAGTGTCCAATTGAGACGCACCTGCAATCTCTACAGGAGAGCTGCACTGCAGTGACCGGGTCAGCCCAGGCTCCGGGCTGCCGAGTCCCTCTGCACGTCCCACCCTCACTCTGCAGTCAGGTCCAACTCCTGGCCCCCACCTTAACTCTTGAGAGGATGAGTCTGGGCAATGTCTTACCTGCATTCCCGCTGCTGAGGATCACAAACGTGGCACACGGCTCTGGTGCCATATGAGAAGAAGAATGGAATCGAGTCCTGATTCTGGAGGATCGGGGAGCTGAACTTAGAACCCCAGCGTGGGCTACAGAGTGGGTGGGGTGCATAGATAACATGTGTGCACACAAGCAGTCTAAAATCTAAAACCACCACCGGCTCTCCTAATCATTAAAGACAGAATACTGACAGATTTTACATTATTTTTCTCATTAAGATTTTAATGTAGTAATGAGATTCTTATTTTTAAAAAATTAAAGAAAGTTTCCTTTTATTTTTTTAGAATAAAGATTTAGTGCACAAATACAGCCCAAAGCCAACAGAAAAACAGTTTTGCCCTGTCATTTCCCTAAGAAAGCACTGCAGTTACTCAGGATAGGCCAAAAACAAACACACACGCAGTCCTCTGAGCTGTAGGCGTCACAAAAAGAGCACATTGAACTATGTACAGTGCCCCCATGTGCAAGTGTGCAATAAAGATGTACACGCACATCCCTATCTGCTCCCCATCATTCTAGAGTATCGTAGCAGATCAAGCTGGGTTAGAAATGTGAAAAGGCCATAACAGTGAAAAGGAAAGTGAAGGTTACAGCGGTTCTTCGACCAGTAGTATAATAATGCTTTGCTAGTTAATTATTTTAACTTTGGAGCAGACTTAAAAAGTTGTTTTGAAATAACTGGTACCTGTAAGGGATGCTTACCGCAATACTTGCTAACGTTTGTCATTGGTTCTGGTGACAGCACTGGCCTCAATGATAGAGTCTAGTAACTTAGCTCCTGGGCCCAGAGTCCTCTACATGGTCCACCTGGGTTCCTATTACCTCTTTAAGCAGTTCAGGAGTTGTGTGGTTGAGCTTCTGAGAACCTAACTAGCATGTCACCTAGGTCTCCTTATGTGGTTACATCAGCTGCTCGTGGTCCCAGTGAAGAATAAAAGAGAATATACGCTGCTGATGACTTCACAGAAGAAACAGAGATATCAGAAACTTCGTGATCATCAAACTTAAACCACCGCTGTCTGGCTGCGTTTTTACAGTAAGCAGTGTAGTGGCCTCCGTCCAGCCCGCCGTAGTGATTCTGTGCAAAACAAGACAACACCCGTGAGGATAGCAGCAGTCCCTTCGGTCACACGCTGCTCCCACTCCTGCTCTGTGCTGAGGGGTCACCTGAACTCCTGTCTTACTAGTTTGCTTTGGACAAAAGGTCTTTAGTGCAAGGAGATACTTACTGAAACAGAAAACAGGCTGTACTTCTTCAGGCTGTGCTTTGGACCAATAACATACTGTGACAAATCAAGATTTTCTAGTGGGAAGTCCACGGATGTTTGTAATTTCTGCTTCCATCTGCCATCGTAGGAAAAACTGCAGAACACAACATTACTGAAATTATACTCAGACAGCAGAAGAAATCCTTACTCATTCAACAGCTGGATTTGAAGTTCATTGAGGTTTAAAGTGGAAAGACCTTTCCATTTTACAAATGAGGAAACTGAGGTGGTAGGAATTAAATGCTACATCCAAGGTCCACCAGCTAGCACAGCAGAGGATCCACATGAGGATCCCAGATGCCTTGTGCAGGCTAGGACTGTCAGACAGGGCTTCTGCAGTGGTGACCTGCATGTCCAGCAGAGGGGCCACCCCAAGAGCACACAGGAGAGCGTGACGAGAGCTGTTCCTGTGGGAGAGCTTGAGCCAAACACTGACCACGGCAGCCTTGTGATCGAGATAATGGCATCCGTTTGCAGCACACTCTGTTTCTTTAAACCCCCAAATATGGTTCCTTTTTGGTGACGTGGACTGAACCCAAGGCTTAACATATGGAAGCCAACCATTGCCCACTGAGCTACATTCATGGCCCCTGAATTATTGTTTAAAAACTGCATTCTGGGGACTACTGGGGTGAGATGATGGGACAGAAGTATCCTTTGTGTGAAGCGGTGAGAAGAGTTAAGAGGTAGAAATAAAGAAACTAAAAGGGGTAATCAAAATATACAGTGAAACTTAAAAATTTAAAATATTTAAAATTTTAAAATGTATCACACGGTAGGACACTGCCGTTAATCCCCTCAAAACCCTCCCCCTCATTTTGATCACATTTTCCCTCTCTTCTGGCCACTTTCTGAAGCAGTTCTGGAGCCTTCTTTCCCGAGTGTCTTTATGAGGTGTGATAAATCCAGTGACTGCTGCTGCTGAGCACCATCCAAGGGAAAGCCAGGCTCCTAAAGACATGACGCTGTCCCCTCATCCACCTTAGTCACCAGATCTGGCACTCTGCAACTGCTGGCTCTTCCCCAGTCAGAATGACTGACATGTAAGAGGAACATTCTGAATCAATTCAGGACACTAAGGGAGCCATGGCAGTGCAACTGAAGTCAGAAAGTGGCAAGAATGATGGCATGAGTGTGTTCAGAGTGAGGGGCTGTGCTGAGGGGATTCAGGACAATGTGTCTTTTATTGTAATAAACTTTAAAAATTAAAACATTCACTGTATTTTTCAGTCACACCTCATATATTCTGAGGAAAGAGAGGAAGAGCTGTGGGGACCAAGAGGTGCGAGTAAAGCTACAAAGTGTGTAAAGGGAGCAGAGAAAGGTCCGAAGCAGCCCCAACGCCAAGCCTGAAGTAGGCGTCTGACTCAGCCAGGGAAGGCAGGAGACTCAGATAAACAGGTGACTGGCAGCAGTGGCCGAAGGCAAAGGCCACAGTGGTGCTGCCCAGCATGGGTGTTTGCTGGGCCAGTGGCTCCGGATTAGAAACCCAGTGCACTGCTGGCCGCACGTCTGGGTGCTGACAGCGCCGTCTGGGTGGGCTTGGTTTGAGCTCGGTTGGAGCCCAAGTGACTGCAGTCGAAGTCAGAACAGCCACACCTCACCCTCCCAGTGGTCTCCAGGGACACCTGAGGCAGTGCTGGGTGGGGCACCACAGGGCACAGTGGGAGCGCCAGGGCTGGCTGCAGACCCTCACCTCGGGGAGGTGTCAGGAGCAGGCAGGCGAGGCCCACCTGAGGGTTTTGTGGCAAGCATGCCAGGGCTGACCAAATCCAGGGGCTGAGCGCCCTGCTCCCGTGCAGCCCAGCACCACAGGGCACAGTGGGAGCACCAGGGCTGGCTGCAGACCCTCGCCTCGGGGAGGTGTCAGGAGCAGGCAAGCGAGGCCCGCCTGAGGGTTCTGTGGCGAACGTGCTGGGGCTGACCAAATCCAGGGTCTGAGCACCCTGCTCCCGTACAGCCCTCACAGCAGGGCAGCCGAGGGCTGTTGGCTTCCCTGCCACCGACACAACTCAGCCGCGCTGCTGGGACACTTGCCACGTCCAGGGCACAGACAGGGAGCCTGTGCAACAGAGCAGCTCGCCGGCTGCCTGCAGAGCCCACGGGATGCACAGGAGCAAGCCCAGAAAGCCCTGCCTGGGTGGATACCGCAGGCAACAGACCTCGCTTGCTGAGGGAGGTGGGCGGGCTCCGCTTCTGCTGCGGGTCCCAATTAAGGAGCTCCAACAACGCACCAGAGGCTCCCTCTGTGTCTCCCTGCTGCTCCCCCAGTGATGCAGCTCGCAGGAAAAAGGGCACTGGGCCAAGCACCCAGGCACAGAGGATTTCTTTTTACACCTTCCTTTCTTTTCTCTTTGCCCTGTTTACTTGTTTTTATCTATGATTTTTACCTACTGTATTTACTTTTTAATTGGATATTGTATCTTGTTCTTCTCTTTCTTCCTTTTTTACAAACACTTGCTGGAGGAGAAAGAGAGAGCACAAGAAAAAAGTGAAAATAGAAGGAAAAATGGAAACAGTTTTGTACATATGGAGAGGAGGGGCCTGGGGGGAAAGGGATAAAATAAAATTTTAATAAGTTAAAGCACTTACTGCTGCTTCCATTGTCCCCCTGCCCCGACTTCATTACTTTGATCTTGTATTACTTCTAGCCTTTTAGTTTGTTACTGCTCCCTTCCTTTCCACTGTGATGGTGGTATAGCTGCTACTGCTTCTCGCTGTGTGTCAATATCTGGTGTGTCAGTGTCGTCATTACTGCAGATTCTCTCTTCCTCTCTGAGTGTACTGGGGGTCAACCCCTCAAAAGCAGGCTGGTTGCTCAGAAGACCCTCATGTCCATTCTAACAGATACACAAAGCTCAGCAAAAACACAGGAAGTAGGAAAAACAAGGCATCATGACCAAATGTCCAATGTCCCTAACTCCTCAGTGACTGAATGCAAAGACAGCAAAGTAATCAAACACCAAAGAATTGAACAATTTGATTTTAAAATGATTAATGACTTCAAAGAGGATGCAAATATACAGCTGAGTAAATTAAGGAAGACAATGTAGGATATGAAGAAGCACTCCAACAAAGAGAAGGTTTCTGAAAAAGACTCAAACAGCAATCTTGGGGGCCAGGGATTCAGCTCAGTGGCACCACACCTGCCTCGCAAGTGCAAGGTCCTGAGTTTGATCCCTGGTGCTAAAAAAAAAAAGTCCATTCTCATCACTCCCACTCAATACAGTCACTAAAATTTTAGCCAGAGGAATTAGGCAAGAGAAAGAAAGAGATACAAATAGGAAATGAAGAAGTCAAATTTTATCTTTTTTTGCAGATAACATGATCCTATATTTAGGAAATCCTAAAGACTCTACCAGAAGACTTTCAGATCTGATAAACCGAGTAAAGTAGCAGAATACAAATCAACATTTTAAAAAAGCGAGAATTAGGAAAGAATCAAACACTAGAAAGACAAAATGACAGGGAAAGGTAGCTACTATATCCACCAATAACAAGAAAGGAGGAACAATTCCACTCATAATAGCTTTACCCATGCCTCAACCTCCCCCCCCCCCAAAAAAAACCCTCCTAGGAATCAGACTAACAAAAGAGGTGAAATACCTCTCAATGAAAAATACAAACACTGAACAAAGAAATGTAAGACACTATAAGATAGAAAGATGGGCCAAGTTCATGGACTGACAGAATTAAAATTGTTAAAATGGCCATATTACCAAAGACAATCTAGGGATTCAGTGTAATCCCTGTCAAAGTTCCCATGACATTCTTCGCCGAATTGTAAAAACACAAACACCCAGCAATCCTGAGCAAAAGGAGTAAGACTGGAGGCATCACAATTAAACCACATCAAATTAAAAAGCTGCTGCACAGCAAAGGAAAACAAGCATGAAGAGACAGGCTACACAACAGAAGAAAATCTTTGCCAGCTACTCTTATGGCAGAGAATTAATATACAGAACCCATAAAACACCACCAAAAAAGGGAAAAAGCCCAATCAATAAACGGGCTTGAATAGCCACTTCACAGAAGTTAATATGGCCAGTAAGTTTATTAAAAAATTGTTCAACATCTTTGTCAGAGAACTGCAAGTCAAAACCACTGAGATGTCATCTCACCCCAGTCAGCATGGCTATATTCAAGAATACAAAAACCAATAAATGACAAGGATGCAGGGTAAAAACCCTTCTACATTGGCAGTGGGAACGGAAATTAGTATAGCTTCTACAGAAATCAGTATCAAGGTTCCTCAAAAAACTAAAAATAGAACTACCATATGACCCTGCTCTACCATTCGTTAGTATTTACCCAAAGGAATTACAGTCAGCATACTATAGAGTTGCATATCCATGTTTACTGCAGCACAACTGACAATAGCCAAAACAGAACCAGCCTAGGTGACCACAGTGGATGAATAAAGAAAATGTGACATATATATACAATGGAGTATTATTCAGTAATAAAGAATGAAATTATGTCAGCTGCAGGAAAACAGATAGAACTAGAGATCATCCATCATGTTAAGCAAACTAAGCCAGACCTAGAAAGACAGGTACAGTATATTTTCCCTAATATATACAATCTTTAGAAAAGAAACAAAGATAATATGAAAGGACAAGAGTACTATTATCGGACAACAGGAAGGGAATTAGGAGGGGAAAGGAAATGTAAAGGAGGGTAGTGTGGGGATGAATATGACCAAGATATGTTACGTGCATGTATGAAAATACCACATTGGAACCTAATTATTTTGTAAAATTAATATGCACTATTAAAATACTGAATTCTGAACCAAATACATTTTTAATATCCTCTAATAATAATGTTCAACAATAAAACTTTTAACAGATCTATAGTCAACTTATATCATGTTTATAACTCCCCAATCCTCAAAATAAAAGAAAAACTGATAGAACAAGCGTTCATTAGACCTTTCACAAGAGAAATCTGAACCCGTCCACATTGAAATTAACACAAGCAACTGCCTAAGAATATCTAATACAAACAGAAATGTTTTCTTTGAAACAAAAATGACACTGCTCAATAAAAAGAAACTTCTTTAAAAAGATTTTAAAAACTGACTCAAAGTCACCACTCCACAGATGGATTACACAAAGACAAAAAAGAATGAGAGCAAAATATCTGGCATGTGTTTTATAACCTCCATCATTATTCCTTCTATTATAGGACCAGATGTTTTTTACTGGTTAGAAAAATCTGAGCAAAAACCATCTGCATTTAACACTGGGATCATTAACATATTTTCTCTTTAAAATTATACTTGAAAAGTATTTCTTCTTTTTTTTTTTTTGTACTGGGGATTGAACTTGGGTCCTTGCGCTTGGGCAGCAGGTGGCAAAACCACTGAGCTAAATCCCTGGCCCCAAGTATTTCATTTTTAACACTACTCTTTGTATGCTTAGTTTATGGTTTGCATGTTAATTTTTTTTTTTTTTTGATAATGGGGATCAAACTCGGGTCCTTGCGCTTGCAGGGCAGGCGGCAGAATGGAGCTAAATCCCCCGCCCCTTGCATGTGAAATTTTAGCTGCTACTTTTGCTACTTTAGCTGCTATTTTGTGTTAGAATTATACTGAACAACATTTATATAGTTCCATGTGATGTAATGATGCAGTCCTTAGCTGCACTGACCCTAGAAAGTGGATCCCACCGACAGGCATGATGACACAGCAGCATTGTCACTGTGGTGTCACTTCTGCCTCGTGTCCCTCCAGCTCTCTAAGCAGATGCGCGTAATAACCCATGTTTCCTTAGGAGGCAGGGCAGTAAGCGGAACTTACTACAAGACTCAGAATTCCTTCATCTAAATCTTACTGAACAGGAAAAAATTTGCTTGGTTACCGTTTCAGATGCACCAGAAGCACAGGTGGCAACTTCCAGATTTCTATCTTTTTGAGAGAATCCCGCCGAGCTCTGCAGTGACTGCAGTAAAACCTATTGTTATCTGTGAGTTTTTCTTCCTTGGAAAATAATCTAAGGCAATCCTGGTGGAAAAACAAGAAACAGACACTCAGTAGTTCATTTCTTCACACAGCATCAGAGAGCACCTCTTCAGGAACAGTGAGCTCAAACAAGAGTCCAGGTCCCACAAGAGACGCAGCCAGTGAAGGGTGTGGTGGGGGCCCTCACGGGGGCAGGGCGGGGGCTGTGGGCCAGGACAGTGCACAGGACTCCCACACCGTGCCTGGCAGTCCTGGGAGACAGAGAAGGGTGCGCAGCAGGAAGCAAGGCTAAAGGCACCAAGGAGCCTAAGTATAAAGGTACTGACTCAATGTGCTCATGGAAAGCACATAGCTGTAAAAAGTAGACCTAAGCGAGCCTGGCGTGGTGGTGCACGCCTGTAACCCCAGCACTTGGGAGGCTGAGGCAGGAGGATTATCTTGAGTTCGAGGCCAGCCTGGGCTACACAGTGAGTTCAGGGCCAGCCTGGACTACAAAGGGAGACCCTGCCTCACCCCCTCCAAAAAGAGTAGACCTAAGTTAAAGTCAACATAGAATTTTCCAAATTAACAACTTCTTAAAAATACGAACATTATTGGGTGGAGGTGTAGCTCAGTGGCAGAGTGCGTAACAGACACAGCACTGGGTTCAGTCCCTAGCACTGAGGGACGGGAAGTAGAGAGGAGGAGGGAGACAGCAACTTTTAAAACATATACTATCAGCTCTGAGGGAATATGTAATCAGAAGTCACCTTTGAAAAGGAACACTGCTATTCTATCAAGTGTTTATGGGGTAATGACGAGAAATGAACTGCTGGATAAAGTACATCTACGTGCATACAAACAGCATTTAGTCCAACTAATCACCTCTGTCCATCTGAAACTCACCTGTAGTGTACATTTACTTGTGGATGCTAGTGGCAGAGACAAATACATGAAGGCCTCAAATGTCCTGGACTTTCTGTGACAAGTGAGGCACTGTACTGTGGATTTGAACTGACCCTGAAAGAGTGCAACGATAATAGATTCATTGAGCTGCTTATGTTTCTGCCAAGCATGTTCTGCAGCTTTGAAGTCATCGAGGTGATCATTGTTCTCTTCTTTATGTCTCTTCCGGTTGTCAGCCTGGAAATAAGATTATTTAAACTCTATATTAATATCTGAAAGACAACACTGAAATATGTAACTGAAAGATTCAAATACTTTCCCAATTTGAAAATGTCATGAAGGAATTCTGATCATATCAAGTGCTACAAAAAAATAATTCTAGCCAAACACAAAAACTCCACTTTACTAAAAGGATGTAAACTGTTGGAATTTCCTAATATATATATATATATATATATATATTTTTTTTTTTTTTTTTAATTTAAAAAGCTGAAAAGTCTACTTTTGAAAAGAGATGACATCCCACATAGAGCTGAGAATTAGGGGAGTGACAGAGAGAGGTAATTTCATTGTCTTAGCCTCAGAAATGAAGACATATGCAGCCACCTATGTCAGATGAACATGTTTACACACACACACACACACACACAATCACAATCAGTGTAAGCATGGTGATCCCACAGGTATCTGAAAAAAAGATGACAAGTTGGTGTGCTAAAAAGAAGCTATTGTATATAAATTTACATAGATACATGTCTCTATAAGAACCATTCATGTGAATTACCTGGTTACATGGAGTAATTCTTATTTTAGAAAATAAGTATAAGAACACAGTATAAGATAATATATACAAATAATATAATAAATACATAAATATCCAATAAAACAAATACATAATGAAGATATTAAGGCTATCTTTTATAGAACCAAATTTATGATTTTATTTTACATGTGGGTCACATATAAAATTACCAATAACTTTTTTTTTTTGGCACCAGGGACCGAACTTGGGATCTTGCTCTTGCGAGGCAGGTAATGGAACCACTGAGCTAAATCCCCAGCCCACCAATAACTATTTTAACATTTGCAAACTGCTCAGCAGTACTACCTGTTAATAGTTAAATAACTACATGTACAACTTCAAATACAGATCCAACATCTTTAATCTCAAAATCCAAAATGCTCCAAAATCAAAACTTTCTGAGCACCAACATGATGCTACAAGTGGAAAATTACACACCAAGAAACTTTGTTTCATGTACCAAATTATTTAAAAATATTATATAAAACTAACTTCAGGCTATGTGTGTAAGATATATGTATATAAGACATAAATGAATTCTGTGTGTGTTTAGATTGGGGTTCTATCCCCAAGATATTTCATCATATATATGCAAATATTCCAAAATCCAAAATCCTAAACACACCTGGAAACATTTCACATAACTGATCACTTATTAGATACTACGCTTATCAGACACATTTGTATTACAGTTTCATACCTTAGTACAAAGTCACTGTATCTGAATAAACTAGCACTGAATATTCAGCAACTAGAGTTTAAGCTGCTGTAAAATGATGGCAGTGCTGCTGAGCAACCTAAGGAGTCTTGGAAACTTAGAAATAGCAAACATCTTACTTTATTTAGGTCCTCATGGAGACCATCCATGAGGAAGAGGAGCAGCTCTTGTGAATCTTGCTGGCTGTATCCTGCGAACTGGTCATTGATCTTCCCGATGGTGATTTTAAAGTCTTTTGGACTGATGTACCTATACTGACCTGTCCATAGCGCTTTCATGATTATACCGAACTCTTCTGCCACTTCTCCTTTATGCCCCAACAAATTTGACCTGTGCAAATAAAATTCAAGTCACTAAAAAAACCTATAAAGGAAAAATTTATAAAGTACAGTGGGTTCTTGATGTCAACATTAAAACATTCACACACTGTAGCCCCACATGAACATACTTGCAGGTTTGTTACTCTTACAGTTTTCCCACCTGGCATGTTCTGGCTGTGAGCTCTGTTCTCCTTGTGTTCTGAGACCAACATGCTGCAGTCTTACGACAGGGAGCTTCTGCCTTGTTTACTGCTTTTTCCACCTCTTTCAGAGTCGGTTTTCCTCTACATTTTTCTAGTGAATAAATGTATTTTCCCTTTTCCTAATTAGACTTCTTTGGAGCTGAGTGGTAGCAGCTCGGGTTTGAACATATCCCCTCCAAAATTTAGGTGATGCCAGTATGACAGTGTTTGGAGGTAGGGCCTTCTCCTCTAATTCTACTCCTGGGGAGGCTGAGGCAGAAGGATCAGAAGTTCAAGACCAGTCTCAAAACAAAAACTAAAACAGTTTGAGGATGTAGCTAAGTGACAGAGCACTTGCTTAGCGTGCACCAAGTTCTGGGTTCGATCCCCAATACTGCCAAAAAAATTAAAAATAGACAGGACCTTAAGAGGTGATTCAGTCACAGGCTTCCCTCTCAAGAATGAGCTTAGTGCACTTAGCAAAGGGCAAGACAAAGGAGGTCATCTTCTCTTGCCCTTCCACCTTTGCTGAGTGACAACACAGCAAGAGGCCATGACCACACAGTGGCATCTATGTCTGGACTTCAGTCTCCAGAACTACGAAAATAAATTTCTTTATAAATGACCCAGTCGCAGCTACTTTGTTGAGCAGCACAAAATAGACTAAGACAGGAAGTATGGTTAGGCTTTCCTTTCAACAGTGTATTGCAGGGCCAGGGATTTAGCTCAGAGGTTTCGCTGCCTGCTGCGCAAGTGCAAGGACCCGAGTTTGATCCCTGGTACCAAAAAAAAAGAACAATGTATTGCAAAAAGACAGATGCTTATTCACCTGTTAATATCATCCTGATAATAGTTCCGGTTGAAATAATCAGCCAGGTGCGGTGCATTGCACAGGCACTGCAGGATGGAGTTCATGTAGCACGTATTTCCTAAGTTCCGAAGTCCAGTGAGGGCTGGTCCAGACCCTCCGAAGACAGGATTGAGGTTTCGGATCTGAGAGGCAGAGAGCCTGGAGATCTCGGCTTTGGGGCAGCATGTTGGCCTGAGCAGGGAGACGTATGGGATGTGGTGAGAGGCAAAATACCTGAAATCAAGACACACACTACAGAGGGGAGCGGCTCAGCACCAGGCCACAGTACCCTTTGTCCAGTCAGTGTGTCAGTGCCTACGGTGCTGGGCCTTACAGGGCATCCAGTAACCAGGTCAGGCCTCCCTGTGTCTGGAATCTGCCCTCTTGACCTCTTAGGTGGGTCTTTGCTTCTAGAAAGGCCCTGAGAGATTCTCTAGTTTCTTGTGAACTAGAAGCTGAAGAACTGAGGCTCTTTCTACCTCTTTCAAACGATCCCAGAGAGGTTAGCATTTTAAAATATTTGAACTCAACCAGAATGCCAAAGAATCAAACAATATTTATTACTGGAGAGCAGATATCAAAGCAGGTGGAGGCTATCTGGGTACTATCACCTAAAGTCTAGAGCCGAGATGGCCACAGGTTGGTTGCTATAATGTTGAAGAAACAATGACTGGCCAAAAACATCTGCATTTGTTCAGTACTGACATTTTTTTTCTTAGCAGCAAGGGAGACTTATTCTTGGCCAAGAATCTTAACAAATATTTTCGACCCATGGCTGGTTGACGCCCTGGCTGCAGAGTCCAGGGCTGTATTTCCATCTATTCCCTTCCCCCTCCCAAAATGTAAAGATTAGAAGTAGTAGACAGACTTAAAAACCACCTCACACCCTACCAGTTATAAGCCAGGAGCATTCAATTCAAAAAGGGCAGAAACCAGGAAAGCATCTAGATCAGACACCACTGGGGCAAATTTAAGTGGACCCTGCTCACTACCTGTGGACAGAGCAGACCCATTGCTTCAACACCGCAGGACAACCTGACTCTTTCACATGACTGGACCTTGAGGGCTGCAGCAGTGCAGACTCAACACTTCCCTAAGTTAGGGTCCTCAGAGGACACTAAGAATCACAGGAAGTCTAGGGAAGACCTGGAGGTCGTCTATGACACAAGTGCTGTGAAATGTAACAAGGTGAGTAACACTTTTTTATGTTAATACTTATGATAACTTCGCCTGTATATTAAGTTATCAACTGGAAGAAAAAGCAAGGATATTTTCATTTCCTTTCTCTCCACAGTAAGTAACAGTGGCTGGAATGGCCATCCAAAGCAATTTCTGACTTGAGCATTAGAACAGTGATCTATTTGGAGCAGAGGTATTAAAATACATACCTCCATTATTTGGGCTGGAGGCGATGCGACAGACTTACTTGTTCTCCCGATTCACAGCTGGTGTTACTGCGGGCTTCCTCCTCCCGTCCTCTGGCACAGACTGGGTGATGTCTGGGGAGGAGTAGGAGCGCTTCAGTTTGGAGGGGTCCTTGTCCCACTCGGCAGGAACCTGGGGCTTGGCTTTGTGAGTCGGGGGGATGGAAGGAGGAGCAGAGGAAGGAGCCATTTCTGGTGGGTACATATGGACAGTGTTGGTGGGTGAATGATAATAACGGAAGGTTCCAGTGATCGGGTCCAGAAACTTGGATAGAAAAGGAAAAAATAAAGGTCGAAGCCTGAAAATGACCATTATACAGAATTAACTTATTCCAAAGCATTCTAGCTAAATTTACTTTTGGATTAAAAAGTATGTACTTCACCCCTGAGCTACACTGCCACTACCTAAAATGATCTGAATAAAATGGTGATAATCACTTCTCTAATTAAACTTCCAAAGAAATTTAGGTTTTAGAGTAATACATTATGATTATGATTACTTGGCACTGAGGACTGAACTAAGGGCCTTCTCACTGAGCTACGTACCCAGCCTTTTTATTTTGACACAGGGCTTTACCAAGCTGCCTAGGCTGGCCTCAAGCTTGCAATCCCCTGCCCCAGCCTCTCAGCTATGCCACACATTCTTGTGGTGGGCCAAGTATGCCACCACATCTGGCATGTAGTGCACTATTTCTAAAGAATACTGCCCGAAAGCTCATGTGCTGCAGCCAGAATCCCAGGCTGGGTAGTGAGAAACAATCCTGCGTAATTAGAAGGAGCTATGTCCTCTTACACTGAAAAAAGAGACTACCTCTTCATTAGGGAAGATGTAAAATAAAAACTAAACAAAGAACCTAGTAACTGTTACTTCTTTTGAGTTCTAATAGTGACTTTTACCTTGGCCCAACCGGAAGGCAGTCCTGGGACGATCCTCCCCATTTCTTCGCTCCGTGCTCTCGTCAAAGGCTCCCTTTGAGCCTGTTTGGGGAAGGAAGAAAAGTCTGATCTTTCAATTAAAATGTGCCACATATAAACTTAGGTACATGTGCCAAAGAGTCAGGGAACCCTGCCTCGGCTGCCGCTTCATGTTTTCAAAACAGGTTCAAAGATGAAAACAAATTATTTTTCTCAAGGTCTAAATATTATTACATCAAAGAAGAGGAGTGTGAAAATAAAAGGAAAAATTTTGATGCAAACATTTCAGGAGCTTTAAAAAAAAGCTTTTCCCAATGACATCCAAAGCCCACCTGGGAGCAGGACTTACAAACAGCGGGCACCAGAAGAGACCCAGACGAACATCGGGAGGGACAGGACCCTGCTGCGTGGCTGCTTTTACTCCGTGTGCAGCTTCCTTCCCTTCTTGTCCCAGGACACAAATCCCCTATCACAGCACCTGAGGCCACAGTTCCAACGCAAGAACACACTTTCTGTCCCCTGGACAGTGGCGTGGAGCAGTCCGAACCTAGCTTTCCTGAACTCTGATTCCTAAGGCCCCAGTCTTCTTACTTTTGCACTTTCTGAGTTGGGAATGACAGACAGGATGGGTGGATAAGACTCTTAACGATGGCAGGGACACAGCAGAGGGAGATGGCCTTCTATTGTGGCTCATGAAGGGCACAAGGGACCCAAACAAGTAAGAAAGGCCACACAATCACACATCATGGACTGCACTGGCATTTTGCTCCCCTAGCATATCTTCTATACGTACTCATTCCACAAGATACCAACGAAGTATCATATAAGTAAATGCAGGCCAATATACTGAGGCACCAACCTTAAAACTAGATGATAGGTACTTTCACTTCTTTCAATGAAAAATTATTAACAGAAAAGAAAAAGGTCCACTCAATTTGTATCTTCATATTCTTCCTGTCTTAAAATAGAATTCCCTTGAACATAAACATGTAACAGAATTTGCATGCTTGAACAAAATCAGTCAAAGGCAAATGGGATAAATGAATAGCTGTGTTAAAAAGACAAATCTAGACCCCCTCTCTGGTGGCTGTGGCCCCCAGCCATGCAGGGAGTTCTGGGAGCTTTGGTTGCTGCCTGAACCTCTCTACATGCTGTGTCTCCTCCTGTCCATGCACTCCTATGATGAAGCTTAGCTTAGAAAGCAGGGACAGTAAGGAATTAACAATAAAGGGAAAACAGAACAACTACGACAATGTACTATTATAAGTCACTTAAAATGCCTTAAGTTTGTTTGCGTGACTTTCAGGACATGGCCAAACCAGAGTAACTGAAATCAGGAGGAAGAAGCACAGACTAGGGGAGACCACAATACAGATAAAGATGAACTCAAAATGGACACAAGTTAGTTCCTGTAGGAACTAATACCACAAGATTTTAAGAAGAAATGAGAAATTCTCTATTACTTTATGACTTTGGGTTAGACACAAAATTCCTTAAATACCAAAAGCATGAGTCAAAAAAGAAAAAACTGGCAGCCTGGACTTGCCCACAAAAACATCTGTGCTTGGTAAAACTCCAAATGAAGAGAGAAAATGAAGAGAGAGCCAGGTGTGCTAGTGCACACCTGTAATCCCAGCACTCTGGGAGGCCAAGGCAGGAGGATGGCAAATTGAAGGCCAGCCCAAGAAACTTAGTGAGATCCTGTGTCAAAATAAAAACAAATAAAAAGGGTTGGGGATGTAGCTCAGTGTGAAGGTCCTAGGTTCAATGCCTGGAACTGAAGAAAAGAGAAGGTGCAGGGAAAGGGGTACAGAGAAGGAAAACCATGAGGTGGAAGACATTTGGAAACCATATTTCTAACAAAGGATTTGTATCCAGAACATTAGAAACTCATACAACTCAGTAAAAGCTGGCAGTAATCAAATTTTAAAACTGACATAGACTTGAGTACATATTTCACCAAAGAAGATAACCACGGGCCTATACTCATATGAGAGAATGTGCAATACCATTAGTCATTAGGGAAATGCATTTTAAAGCCATGAGCTACAACTTTACACTCACAGAATGTTTACAATAAAAACAGTAACAAGAACTGGCCAAGATACAGATACAGACAAATGGGAATCTTCGTATACCGCTAGTGGGAAGGGAAAATGGGGGCAGCCACCTGGAAAACACTTTGGTAAGTTTTTTTTAAAGTTTCCTAAAAAAACATAGCAAAACAATACCACCTCAAAGTGCCTATTTAAAAGAAATAAGAACATATTTCTATACAAAGACATGTAGAAATGTTCACAGTAGCATTACTGAAAAGAGCCCCAGAACAGAATGATCCAAATGTGCCTATCAACTAATGAGAGTAAAATGCCACAAGTCCAACCATGTAATACCAGCTGCAAAACACAGGCATGAACTACCAGTACATGCTACCACATGGATTAATCTAAAAAACATGCCGTGTGAAAAAAGCCAGATGCAAAAGATTATTAGAATCACACAGAAGGCAGACGACTGGAGATAGAGATTAGACTAGGTGTTGTTTTAGGGTTGAGGTTGGGAAGAGGGAGATACTATAATTGGTCATAGAAACCTTTTTGGTATGATGGAAATGTTCTAAAATTGGGTTGGTCAAAAAAATGTAGGAGTGGTAAATGACAACAACTCAGCCTATCCTAGATTCAGAATCTAGACACTGGAAAATAACAATTTGGAGGGGGCAGGGATTTAGCTCAGTGGTGCCGCTGCCTGCCTCCTAAGCGCAAGGTCCTGAGTTCAATCCCCAGTACCAAAAAAAGAAAATAACAACTTGGGAAAGAAAAAGAGAGAAGTAGATCCCCAGGAACCAGGAAGGCTCTGACAGGAAAATTAAAACCTACAGAGAAATTGAGATGGAACACAACATAGAGAAGGGAAGTAAGAGTCTGCATTTCTTCCTCATACAGAGTCAAAGTGAAAGTTGGGGACTCCAGAGGGGCCTCGGAGAAACACGGTAGTGGAATGGACCAGCAGGCATGGCCTGCTGCAGGGACAGTACAGGATTCTGCTTCCACACAAGCTCTTCTGTAGGCAACAGATGGTGAATGACTCCAATCTAAGTGTCCACCATACCCCTGGAAGAGTGCCTGGTGGGATGCCATTCCGGGGAAGGGTTGTTTGAACCCAGGACTCAGAGCAGCTGCAGAATGGCATCACTTCAGGGCTCCCTTTGTTAAGTTCCTACAGTGACTGGGTAAAAGACAGCAGTGGTGAGGGAGCAGCCTGGAAAGAGACCCCTGAGAGGTTTGAGCTGAAGGACACAGGCCCTGCCATCAAGGCCAGAGGCCAGGCCCAGTCTGAGCTGCTCTGGATTTGATCACTGCAGCACTGGCAGCTTTGCCCTAATCCTACAGCCTGCTGGTGCCTGACTGCTTTATCTACCAGTGTGATCAGGCTCAGACATCTTGGCTCAGACACTGCCCCAAAATTGTAGATCTCAGAAGAAAACCACACGTTCAAAATCACAGAGAAATTTCTTTTCTTCTGTTTTTGGTGAGTGTGTGCATTGTTTTTGGCTTTGTTTTGGTCTTGGTTTTTCTTTTTTTTTTTTTTTTCTTTCCTTTTCTCCTTTCTTCACCATTTTTTTGGGGGTTGGGGAATTTTCTTTTGTCTTTTTCCTTGCTTATCTATTTTTATTTTTTTCCTCTTTTAATTTTTTCTTATTTTTACTCCTAATACAGTGATACCTCAGTTATTAAATGGCTCCAAGCTTGAACTTTCTATTACTTGAAAAGCAACATTTGAAAAAAAACTGCCCAGTATTTGTAACTTTGCTCGATAGTGGAAAATCCAACTTGAAAAAACCTGAGTGAGTCACATGTTACATCTCACCATGGACACAAAGGGGTGACACTTCATTCTAGGCACTGCTCTCATCCAGACAACATACAGTGCTTGTGTTAGTGCGTTAAAATATTTGTCACTATGCTGCTTTATTTTATTTATTTATTTAATTTATTTTATTTTGCATAAAATGTCAAACCATGGCTCCAAAAAAAGTTAGTGATACCAGCAATAAAGCTGATAAAATTATGAGAATCACAATGGAATTAAAGAAGTTATTGCAAAATCTGTTGAAGTACCAGAAAAATGAATTTATAAGTGTAAATTCTGGGCCTCAGAATCAATTATTTGGCTTTCCATTATTTGTTATGGGAAGATGATGTTCAGTTCTCAAACTTTTCATTGTTCTAATGTGAATTTGAAATGAACTGAGTTCAACAATCGAGGTATCATTATATTTCTTTTTTTCTTCTATTTCCCATTAATTTTTTCTCTTAACTTTACCTAATGCTATGAACATCCTTCTATGTCCGAGTAGGATCCTTTGTATTACTTCTCTCCTGCTTTTCATATTATGTAGTTTAGTTTCAAATTTTTCCTCTTGCATTGCCCAATCCCCCCCATAGCTTTAACAGTATAACTATAAATCTTTATTAATCTTTAGACAGTTAACTCTATAAAATTACTGAATTCTTACCATTAGCAGAGGTAAAGCTGTCACAACTAGTACATACTAACTATAAGTCAATACGTGGGTTCTCTTAAATGTTTACACCATAACTGTGGCTTTTGTCTCTAGGGATAAGGGTGATACATAATTGGTTCTTACTATGTTAATATCCGATTTGTCCTGAACCATACCACTATAGCTGATTTGTTAATATTACCAGTGTTGCATAACTGTTGCTATTAATGGGTTTTCTCAGGAAGCTAACACTCGGAATACCTTTTGACATTAACACTACTAGAGAATATTCCCAGAGAACTCAGCATTGGGCCAATTACACTGCATCCTCCCCTCCCAATTTAATCAGGGTGATCAGATCTTGGGGCTGACACAAAGGACTATAGTCAGTCACATCCAACATCACTAAAAAGTCACTGAAAGACGAGTAATTAAAGGATCTCTATACTAGCAACAACATCTTTACAAGAGTCCATACACCTCAGCAGAAAACAAAACAAAGAATAGAAAAATGAGAAGACAACGCAACAAAGCATCTTCTACAACTCCCAACTCCCCCAAAGACTATCCAGAAGGCATCAAAGGGGAGAACAGCATAAGCCCCACACCGGAATTATTCAAAAGGATAACAGAGGTTAGAAATCATAGCAAAGATGTACTCAGCAGGATCACAGAAGATACAGCAAAACAGATATTGGTACTAACAACCAAAATGATCCAAGAGCTTTCAAAAGACACTAATAAAAAACTAGCCAATCTAAACAAAACTGTACAAAACACGAATGACCAGTTCAACAAAGAATTAGTGTCAATGAAAAGGTTTCAATCAGAAATCCAGAAGATTAAAATTATATTGAGAAACAACAACAGAAGCTACCACTGTGAGCGCAGAATTTCAGAACTAGAAGACAATGATGCCTCAAAGATCAACTACTCAAAGACACCTTAAAAGCAACAAAAGAACATGAAAAATGGATCCAACAGCTGCTAGATGCTGCAAAGAAGACTAATCTAAGAGTAACTGGAATAAGTGAAAAAAATTAGAAGACAACACAAATGGCATAAAAAAACCTATTCACAGAAATAACAGCAAGAAACTCCCAAAATATAAAGAAATAAACACAGATAAATGAGGCATATGGACTCCAAAGAGCCATGACCAAAATAGAACCTCTCCACACCACATTATACTCAGAGTACCACAAGTCCATCACGGGGGCAAAAGCTTAAAAGCTGTTAGAGAAAGGCAATGAATCACGTATAAAGGCAAATCCATTAACTTACAGCAAACATCTATACAACCCTTAAAGGCCAGGAGGAGTGGAGTGAAATGTTTCAAGCCCTAAAATGTAACAACTTCCAACCCCAACTTATGTATCCTGCAAAACTTTTCCTTAAAATTGAAGGAGAAATACGGTATTTCCATGACAAGGAGCACCACCAAACCGCATTACACAAAATTCTCAAGTATATCCTAGAAAGAGACAAGTCAACAATGCCAACAAGTCAAGAAGAATGAGTACACCTGTCACAAGAAATAATACCAAGAAACAAATGGGACCACACCAAATTAGAAAGTTTCTGCACAGCAAAGGAAATCAGAGTTGATCTGTGTTTGATGGTTGATTTGATAAAGACATAAAATAAATTTAAATTTGACGCTAGCAAAAAAATAAAAAGTATAGTCTATTTTACTGTCAAATTCAAAACACATACTTTGGAGCCCCTTTGCAATTAACTACCACTAAAGAGAAAGAACTGGAAAGTTCTGATGAAGCAAAGCAAAGCAGACTGTAAGGCGTGGGTTTATGGGTGCATACGACGCTGAGGGTCAAACGCTGGTAACCAGTGGGTGCTCAGCACACCCTCACCGCAACTGTTCTTCTACTTCAGTCCCATACGATTCTGGTTACCCTGAAAGGTGCTGTGCTCCAAAAACTCTCAAGTATTCAAGAGAATACAAAATGTTATATAGACCAAATTTAAGAAATGCAAAATCGGTTTTTATATCTTCTTATACATCACAGGATCTTTAAAATAATTCACTTTATCTTTTTTTTTTTTTTCCTGAACCGGGGATCAAACTCACTTACCAGGCAGGTGCCACTGAGCTAAATCCCCAGCCCTACTGTGTTTTTAAAATGATTACAGTTAAAAACTTTATTAGCAATACTTTCAACAAAATTTATTCTAGAATAAATTACAGTCTGCTTCTACTTTTAAAAGGAACATACATGTGGGCCGGAGATTTAGCTCAACGGCAATGCACCTGCCTTGCAAGCACAAGGTCCTGAGTTCGATCCCCAGTACCAAAAAAAAGGAATATACATGTATAGCAATGTAATATAAACTTTTTCGATGTGTTATAGGGAGAGTCCAAAGCTAGTTCATAACTGAAAGTTATTTAGATCTGTAGGGATATTTGGCACTCACAACATGAATTCTTTAAGTTCTAAACACAGCTTGTTGTAATAAAGCAAAAGGAAACTAAGTGGCTTGGAAATGTCACTGCCTATGTGATTTTAGGCAATGTCTAAGCATCAGCTTCACTTGTAAAGACCCCAAGGGGTGACTGTTAGGAGTAAGACAATGTTGGGGAACTATCCAGCATGTTGTAGGTACTCAGCGAATAATGTTTAAATCGTATCTCAAGTAACCACTTGCAAGTTCTGATTGCCTGTGAAATTAGAATGTAGGTTTCTGGGCTTCATTCCCCAATTTGGGGTGTTTGGAAGGTTTCTGGACAGCAGCTCTATCTTTTATACTAGAGGTTACCAGAGTCCGGTTCCCTGGCTAAGTTCAGCAATGGTATGTGTTGTTAACCCTGCTAACTGCCTAACCTGCTGCTAGAGAAAAGCAGACACTGCCATTCTGTAAGACAGTATTTTGCCTCTCATCAGAAATCATTTTCATACTACTACAAGATGTTCTTCTATTTACATATCCATAAAATGGATTTTAACTGTTCCTATTTTAAAATTTAGTATCCAAGGGAGGGGAAGGGGAAAGGAAAGAAGGGAGGGAAAGGAAAAATTATGAGAAAAGGAAAAAATGGAAATAAAGCCTTTATAAACAGGAAAGGGTGGAGGGGGTGGAGGGAGGGCAGGAAATAGGGAAAAAACAAGAACCAAGATGCATCACGTACATATACAAGATCCCAATGATGAGTGTAACTGTATTGAATACCTAAGATGTACCAATAAAAGAATTTAAGGAAAAAAAATTAGCATCCAAAAGGAGAAGGCACTATTAATTGCCTAGTGAAGAAAAAGAAAAGTATGACTTCACTAGATTAAAAAGAAGGAAGAATGAAAGCGTCCTCTGAGGTGATGGGAGCTCCTTCTGGGTGTGTAGCCAAGAGCAGAAAACAGGCAGCATGAATGAGGCTCTTGCCAATATTGTTTGGGTAGATAAAGTGCGAAACAAAATGACACAGACTTGCCCCAAAATGTGGTTACACGTAAAGATAAAGGCTGGGCTTTCCCCCTCGTACTGGGGATGAACTGAGGGCCACTTCACACCAGAGCTGCATGCCCAGCTCTTTCTATGTTGTTGCAGTCAGGGTCTCTAAGTTGCCCAGACGAGGCTCGAACTTGTGATCCCCCAGCCTAGGCCTGCGGCACTGTGCGCAGGTGTTGGGCTATCTTGATGCCACTGATTTTGCATGCATTCTTGGCAGCTATAAACTTCATCATACAAACACTGGCATCTAACTTCTCCATACAGAGAGGAAGATTATATTCTAGTCTTTTGATGATCATACATCAAACATAAAAATGAACGTAGCTACTTAGGCACTAAGAATGCATTGCATTTTATTGACATAAATTCCACTGCCAATCATTTTTAAAGTACTCAAAGTAGAGTAGGGGCTGGTTGTGGCAGTGCATGTCTATGAGCCCAGCTACTCAGAAGGCTGAGGCAGGAGGATCCCAAGTTTCAGCCAGCTCAGACAATTTAATGAGACCCTATCTCAAAAAAGAATTGAAAAGGGTCTGAGACATAGCACTAGAGTGCTTGCCTGGCAAGCCTGAGGCTCTGAATTCAGTGGCCAGTATTGCAAAAAAAAAAAAAAAGAAAAAAGCAGAGCAGGTGAGCATGTTTGGACAAAGCAGAAAATCTACTCGAAGGCCCACCCTGTCTGTCTGTCTCGGAAGGAGGCCCTGGTGTCCTGCTGGTCTGTACATTTCAGCAGTGCTGCTGTGCTCTGCTTACCTTGCCTGCACTTGCATCTCCCGCCACAGACACAGAGGTGTCTCCTACTGGCTTTCTCTGCACTTCTGGAGTTGGACACCTTTTCCCCCTGTCTTCCACAGACTTCTTGGCATCAGAAGTTTCATGTTCGCTTTTACTCTGTCTTTTTAATCCTGTTGTTTCTTTGCCCCTCTTTGCTGAAGTTTCCTTATCTTCCTTCTTGGCTTGTTCACTTTCTCTCTTCTCCATTTCTTTTGCTTTTTCTTGACTTTCTGGGATTTCACTTTCTTCAGCTTCTTGTTTCTTTCTGGCTTTTTGTTCTTGTTCGTCCCCGCTTAGCTTCTCTTTCTGTTCCTCGGGCTGCCTTCCTCGAAGTCCTTTTTCTTGCTTGCTTTTCTCCATGAGCAAAGAGGCTTCTGCATGAATCCGGGCTTTCTCTTCATCCGAAAACACAGCAGCTGCAGGGGGAAACGCTGGCTTGGTGGAGCGGTCGGGAATGGCTTTTCCATTCTGAGGAGACTGCTGCTGCTCATGGTCTGTACTCTCAGATTTTACTCTATGATCTTCGGGCAATCTGACTGCTGGTTTTTTACTACGATCAATCTACAGAAACAAAAGCAGCAAAATGTATAATCTTGGTTCCCGAAACCAAGCTGTGATAGAAGAACTGTCATTTCACAGAGATAACATCAGCCTGAACATCTACCTGTAAACTACTCAATGTCAGGTTCCTTGTGGGAGACTCAATTCAACATTTTCAGGTCACCCAATGGGTTCTGTATATGGAATTTATTAATGTGTTCATACCAAGAGATGAAATCTAGAGCAGGCACACCAGGGTTCAAGTTCTGCTTCCACATATCCACCTGCCTGCTCACTAGCTCCATGATGACCACACATCTACCCCAAACCCAAGATGACCAACATGGAATTCATGACTCCCTCACAAATATGGCCCTATCTCATGGGAACACTCTTCTCCAAGCAGCTGTACAAACCAGAAGGTGAGAGTTCCCCAGCATGTTCTCTGCCCTCTGGAGTCTAACGATTCTCCTCCTGTGCCTACTGCCCTCCGCTTCTACCCTCTGCCATCGTCTTCTACTCTCCTCTAATCTAGTCTCCATATTGTAGCCAGACTGATCATTTCAAGACAACCTGACCATGTTCTTCCTATTTTAAATTGCTACTTGCTATACTTAGATTACATCTAAATCTTTAGCATGGCCTGAGTCCCTGTGTAGTCCTACATCTGCCACCTTCTTATCTCTTACTGTTCTATATACTAGCTACACTTGCCTTAAAAAATATTCTTCAAAACTACCACACTCCTTCCAACTCAGGTCTTTCTATCAGTTGTTCACCTAGATAAGGTCCAACCCAACATTAAGTCTTAGCTTAAATAGTTGTCTCTCAGAACACCCCCCACCTCCAGTGCTAAAGCTAGTCATGCTCTGATATATGCTCTCAGTATACCTTATACAGCACATACTGGGATTTGGTTTAAATAAATATTTGTTTAAAATCTTCTCTCCTAAGATAGATGTGGTGTCACATGCCTGTAATCTCAGCAATCAGGAGGCTGAGGCAGGAGGGTCACTGTGGGTTCCAAGCCAGCCTGGGCTGCATGGTGAACTCAAGGCCAGCCTGAACTACACAGTGAGATTCTGTTTCAAAAAACGTAGGTAAAATATTCCCTCCTAGAACATAAGTTCTAAAAAGGTAGAGATGGTGCCGGGCACACAGTAAATAAACATGTTATTGAGAAATTGAAAGGGAAACAATACTCTCGAATTCATTCCTGGAAGCAAGCATCACCTTGATCCCTAAAGCAGAGAAAGACCCAACCAAAAAAGAGAACTATAGGCCAATCTCACTAATGAACATAGTCGCAAATATCTTCAATAAGATATTGGCAAACAGAATGCAGAAGATCATCAAGAAGATCATACACCCTGACCAAGTGGGATTCATCCCAGGGATGCAGGGATGGTTCAACATATGCAAATCAATAAATGTAATACCCTTTATCAATAGAGCCAAGGACAAAAACCATATGATCATCTCAATAGATGCAGAAAAAGCATCTGACAAAATCCAACACGCATTTATGATAAAAAGATGATTTTTAAAATGAAGAAACGAATAATCTCATTTTATAATAAAAACTCAAACTTTCTCATCACAGTCTGCTCTATAAATCAAAGTCATCCACTTCATATGTGAAATGTTATTTAAATATATCTGGGGAAATAAATGAAAAATAAATGCTAAATAAAAAGTCTTATTGGAGAAAGCATAGGAAAGCATTAATTAATCTTTGAGTAGAACCTAATGGAGACAAAAACAGCTATACCTGGGTACAGTGAGTGGTGCATACATGTATCTCTGCTACTCGCAAGGCAGCATTATCTGTGACATACTAGGAACAAGAGTTTATGTAGCTTGGGACACCTCCAGTTAGCAATCTGCAGGTCTCAAATGCTTGCTCAACTGAACTAATATTCTTATCTATCTCTCCACTTCTGTTCCTAAAAGAATTAGTCTACTTCTCTGTGGAAACAGAAGCTATTACTGATATTTGCTTGGGTAAACAGTCATCAGCTAGGTTGAAATCCTTTGAATTATCTATTCTAATAGAATTATAACCAAAAAAATTTGTAAAAATAAAGGTGCCAAGACTAGTTTCTCCTGACACTTTCCTGGGATGTGAAGTTTATATATAAAACTTCATTTCTATACTGTGTGTCTAATACAGTATGAAGGTAGAGAACAAAGTTAAAAGAAAAGTAAGACAATACCTGCGGAACATTCTTTATAATAGGCACTGGCTGAACTGTAGGTGAAACATCAGCTCTGGAAGCAGCAACTGGTTCAGCTGGCATTAATGCACTCAGTTCTCCTTCATCACCTGTCAATTCTGTGTTTTCATTTACTTCTGGATGAGGCGGTGGCATCTGAGCAGGAGGTTTGGAAGGAACTGATTCTTCCAGTGAGGGATAAGTGAAATCCACTAAAAGCACCAGAAGAATAGCATTTTTAAAAGAATAGCAAGCTCCAGAAATAGTACTTGTATTTGTCATGCATGTTGTATGTGCGAATTAAATATCAACTACATGACATGACAATCACAGCAATCTTCTAGGCTAAATGTATTTTTAACTGAAAACAGAACAGACAAATACACATATGACAAAGATCATGACCCTGAAAACATCAGCATCTATTTTATATTCATTAAAGTAATTTTAAACAAAGATTTGCACATACGTACATGAGACAGACACCTCTTCGCTCCTGCCTCGTGGGGGTGGAGTGATCTTAGCATTTGTTGTGTACTGGGGATAGCACAGAAGCCAGTTTTCATAGCCTCCCTCCAAAACCAAGGGCTCATGGCGCAGGACAGTTTTACTTTCCCACTATAAAGCAAGAAAATGGAATTTTTAACACGGTGGCAGCCTACTGACAGCTAAAACCACAACAAATGTGAATTGTTCAACTGCTCCCTTGAAGGCAAGATTCATTTTCTAAATGATGAAAATAGAACCAACTTCAAAATTTCACATGAAATAAATAGATGTATAGGCCAGGTTTTAAGAACCATACAAGTAATCCATGATCTTAAAAGAAAAATTAGAAAATTAATTAATATAAAATAAAAATTGCCTATACCCTCACAACCCACCCAGAGATACCATTTTAACATTTTGGAGTTTATTCTTTGTTAGTTTATTTTTTATTAGTGTATGTTTGCAAAACATAATAAATATATTCTTTGTGGTAGTTTATTCTCAGTTTTCTACTTAGATACACATTTTTTAGTTTTGCTTTTGCAAAACAATGAAACTCTTATGATGCTGCTTTTCTTTCATGTGAACATCGTTTATTAATAAAGACCTGTATCATCATTTATAATGACTAGACACTATTCTATTTCACACACACAAACACTTCAAAATTGAACCATTTGAATGCCTTCCCCTCACTTAATCATAAGCAATGCTGAGACCCACACCATGACCTTAGACATGTACACATCCAATCTCTGACCCCAGGGGCAATTCCCAAAAGTGGAGCTGCTGAGCCAAGGCACAAGAACATTTTAGGATTTTAAATATATATATTGCTAATCTTCAAAATGATCATTTAAAATATGTATTTGTATATTATTATACCATTTCCTAGGAGAAGAGTTGCTAGTTTAAAAGTCTGGTAGATAATGTCAAACTGCCCTTCACAAAGACTATACCAATTTATACCTGGAACCAACAGTATTATGAGAATGCTCATTGTAAGTCTATAATTTTTACCAAAGTGGTGGACATAAGATGGTATCTTAATTAGCATTTCTCCACTGGTAAATTTGAACTACTTTTCGTGTTTATTAACTAAACATTTAAATTATTCTACGACTTAACTAATCTCAACTTTTGCCATTTTTCTACAGAATTGCTTGCTATTTTCTTAGTAAACAGTGCCAAGTATTAGGGAAACTAGTCATATATGTTACAAATAGTTTTCCTGAGTTTTAGACTTTATGGTATTTCTTACAGTTTAATAATGCATTTATCTTCTAGGCATTTTGGTTTAGAATCAAGATCATAATCATAATCATAAAATCAACGCTTTCTCCTAGTAGTTTACTGTTTCAATCCACACATTTGCACCTTTGATCTATTTGGCATCTGATCTGGTGTAAGAACTTAGGCAGGAATCTACCTGCCATTACCTACCAGCTGCCCAGTTGTCCCCAAACCATTCATTTCTATCTATCTCTTTCTTGCTGATTTGTTAGGTCATCTTTATTATACCCTAAATTTTTACATTTCTCAGGCCGATCTTTATGAAACTGCTACTTTTGCAGGTCAAAGCCAGTGGAATACTGGTAGTTTCAATATAATCAATCCATATTTATGCATATTTCTGCTTCCCTATGTTAAATCATGAACTGTGTTAAGGCTTTAAGATTGTGCTACCAAGGGCAACATGCCAGCGGTCAACTATCTGAGCAGCAGAATGAGTTTTATTCTAATTATGTGTTTCCAGCCTTCCATGCTAGCATTGTTTAATAATGCAACAAACCACACCAAGCATTTTTACAGCACTTTCTTTTTTTTTTTGGTACTGGAGATTGAACTAGGGACCTTGCGCTTGCGAGGCAGGCGGCGGAACCACTGAACTAATAAATCCCTGGCCCCACACCAAGCATTTTTAAAGTCTTTAATTTGATCAGTGAGAGCAGCACTCATTGTAATTTCCATTTACCTAATCCTATAAAGCTGACCATTTCTATGGTTATGCCTACAATCTCTTCAGATTTGGGGTGTTTCAACATACTTATATATCAGTTTATTATTTGGTGATTCAAAACATTTCTTTAAGTCTGAATTTCTTTAAAATTCCACAAAGCATGATGGATCGATCTTTTACTTCTTAAGAAAACAACTAGTCAACATGGCTTCCTAACAAACCAAAAGAGGCTTATAGTTATGGTAATCTAACAAGGAAACATGCTAACCTTGAAAAGTGCATCTTTCAGACTCTGTAGAGTTGTTCCAAGCTGTAAATCTTTTGCAGAACTAAACCAGTCAAGAAGTACCACATAATCCACATTCCCCCTCTTCTTCCATGTGTCTTTAGAATCCTCTGGGAGGTTTGCTTCAATCCAAGTAGCAGTGACTCTGAAATGTATTAACATTCATATTGGGGCAAAGAGCCTAGTATACTAACAGAAGATACTGAGTTCTCTTCTCATCTCTACCATAGCACAGCCAATTTTAAGTAAACTCCTTCCTAGGATCCGCTGTCCATTACGATATTAAGTAGCCTAAAGCCTTTAATCGTCTCACTACTGCATGTTGAAAAATGACTTTAATAATTACTAGAGACTGAAAGAAGTAGATTCAATTCTGGCCCCCCCTTTTTTTCCTTTGGGTACCAGGGATCCCTTTTTTTTTTTCTGGTACCAGGGATCAAACTCGGGTCCTTGCGCTTGTGCAGCAGACTGCAAAAACAGTGAGCTAAATCCCCGGCCCCTCTTTTTTTTTTTTTTAAGGGCCAAAACTGAAACCAGAGAAAGTCATCTGGGCACAGCTCTCAGCCAAAATAAACAACGGGGAACACTTCGGTAACTTTATTCACTTTGCAGTCCTCTTACACCCACACAGATACTCAGTAATTGAATGGTAAAAAGTTCATTTAACAAATACATATTTACCATGTGTCAGATACTGTTCCAGACCCTTTTCCTCACTGAACTCATGAACTCTCACAACAACCTCTAAGGTAGACATTACCCCGTTTTACAGATGAGGAATCCAAGCACAGAGGGCTTAACTTGCCCCAGGTTACAGCTGGTAATGGAGGTACAATGAAATCTCAGGCAATCTGGCTCTGGTCTATGCCCTCAGCTACCTCTTCTACCTCTGCTGCCTCTTCTAATCAGCTCTGAATAACATCAGTGTTGGGTTAGAACATGCTCTTCCCCTCATCTTGTGTTGACATAAGAGCAAAAGTCATGCCGACCCTGTCACCAGTGTGGTCCCCTTTGTTACTCCCTCCAGCCGCCGGCTTCTTTGTGCCTCCTGGCTCATCTGGGGGTGCTCCTGCACAGGAGGACCTCTGCTTTTGCCGTCTGTTTGGAACCCTTTCTCCCACTGATATCTGCATCAGTCATTCCCTGATCTCTTCAAGACTTGCTAATAACTGCTTCTTAGGCCTCCCTGGACTAATGCTAAGATCCACCCCAACACACACACACACACACGCGCGCACGCGCGCACACACATGCTCCCTCCACTGCCACCTCAACAGCACTCATCAAACATGACACATATTACCCATTTTGTAAGTTTTTACTGTCTTACTGATCCCATTTCCCCATTAAAGCTCTATGAAGGCAATAATTTTTATCTGTTCACTGACTTAGCTCCAGCATTTGAAATCACAGTAACTCAGCTCATTGTAAGTGCTGGTAAATATTTGCTGAATGAGTAATACAAATTGACTCCTCTAGGTAAGAAGTGCCATCATTTCTAGCAAAGCACTTAGCACATAGTAGGCCTGTTAATATCTGACTGATGCTAATGGGAAGCAGAGCAGGACTGGCAAAACATTATCCACAAGTAAGACTAAATGGTTTGGATATTTTTTTTAAAATCCTATTCCTAAATAATAATGTCGGTTATTTTATCTTCTAGGAAGTAAAGAAAGAGAAGAGGTAGAAGAAGAAATAACAGAAAACTTTTGCTGCCTGCTGCGCAAGCACAAGGACCCAAGTTCGATCCCTGGTACCAAAAGAAAAAGAAAAAGAAAAAGAAATAACAGAAAACGTCTCCTAGGCCTTGGGGATGTGGCTTGGTGGTACAGTGCTTGCCTAGCTTGTGTGAGGCCCCGGATTCCATCTCAGCACTTAAATAAGTAGTCATAATTCCTCTCCTGATATTAAAGACATCAGACGCTTGGTCTACAAAGAATGAGAAAAACAAAATGTGATATTCTTAGGGAGCATTTCCAAATCTAGTGTTATATCTGTCTAAGTACTGTTCTCAGGATTAATATTCGACAGAACACACTTCGGGAAACAACTGTGTCAACCAGTGCTCCCCATACCTGTCCTTCATGTGCTATCTTCAGTTTGTTCCAACTCTGCTTTAACATTTAAATGTGATTTAACTATTAACTTCACAACAATTTAAAATCATCTTTTATTGATACAACTTATTTTAATAAGAAACCATATGTTCCTATATCCATGGAAAACAGTGTCACAGACAATAAATACAAGGTGAGTCTAAAAAGAAGCTGACCATGCTGTGCTCACACAGCAATGAGAATGAAGGAACTACAACTCTGCACAGTAACAGGTGAGCCCGAAACACCAGGGAACACAAGCAGCCAGCCACAAAGACTGCAGATCGGGAGGCAGACAAAACGAGCATGTTCTGCTAGAAATTGGTAGTTTCACACTCAGTCCGTCAGAATGCATATCCTGTTTTATGAAGTGTTGCTTGCTTCTAGAGTAGAAAAAAAAAGCCACTTTAGATCTTCGAGGGAAAAAACCAGGTAATTTCTGGGGTGGGTGGGGAAAAGGCCTGCAGCTGAGGGTGGTGTCTGTCACACTGGGGCTGGAGGCTGGCACAAGGGGCACAAGCGGTCAGGGTTAGCTGCTGGCTGGGCGGAGCGAGCCCTCAGGACAGGAGTGCATCTTGTCCAGACTCTGGCACCACAGAAAGCTGTAAGGCCTTCCTCTGTAAGAAAGGGAACCTAGCAAATACTACAAAGGTGCAGCAGCTCAAATTGAAACAGCTTTTAGCCAACTGAGGCCTGGAACAGAAATTACAAAGGAATAATTTTCTCAATACGCAATTCGTCCCTCTTTAATCTTCAAGCTAAAATCATTTTGAGATTCGCAGTAGTCCTGACTGCAAACTCAAGAAAGACCACCAGCTTTCTGTTGGTACAGATTATCCAAAGACTACAACTTTGTCTTTTCAAATTCTGGGAATACATTTGGATCTGCTTAATTAAACTTAACACTCCATAACTTAGTTCAAAGCACGCTATTCCTCAGGTCAGATATCTACCAAGTGTCTGCAACATGCTAAGAACTATGTAAATTTTATCTAGTTTTTTAAAAAAATATGCTTTTAATGCTGTTGGTAAGCCTCAAAATGGTTTTTATTTTTTCAGTACTAATGACTGAACCCACGGCTTTGCATATGCTAGCCAGATGCTCTACTACTGAACTACATCCCATCCCTCTTTAATTTTTATTTTCAAGACAAGTGCTCAGATTGGTCTCGAACTAGGAATCCTCTTGCCTCTGCCTCCTGAGTATCTGGGACTACAGGTAGGCGCTAATGCACGTGGCTACAACTATACAGTACAACTAATCCAATCCTGTAACCTAAGATCAGAGGTCATATGAATTATTTTAAAATGCTCAAAACACTGGAGACAACCCTGGATGTACATGTTGCCATGATTTCTAGTCTGCAATACACACATGGAAGTAACTTTACACTGTGGTACAGTTTTAGGGCCTTTTTTACTAAAAAGAAGAATGGGGGGGCACACCTCTTACTAGTGCTAGGCACTGTGCTAAGTGTGTGTAGCGTGTATAAAATGTCTCATGTAAGCTTCTTGAAACTTCTAGTATACTGCGGTAGGCAGTATACTACAATCCCCATTTTACAGATGGATATGGGCTTAGTGAGGTTTAGTCACTAGCTAGAAATAATACAACAAATGACAGTTATTTGATACAACCTGACTACAGAGACTATATTCTTTTTTCACTTAGCTATTTTTTTTCCAGTACTGGGGACTGAACTCAGGACCTTGTGCTTACCAGGCCGGTGCGGTGCCACTGAGCTACGTCCTAGCCCTAGCTATACTTTTTTAAAAAAACTATTTGTATGTCTTATCACAGATAATAGTTTGGGGAATTTCAACCTGTAAAAAATTCAATTAGTTTCACAATTTGGTACTTATGATCCACAAGCTTATGAACAGAAAAATGACAGAAGTCCGGCAAGGGCAGCTCTGCTTCATTTCTTTTTCTTTTTCTTTTGGTACCAGGGATTGAACTCAGGACTTGCGCTTGCAAGGCAGGCAGCGGCACCACTGAGCTAAATCCCCGGCCCTGTGCTTCATTTCTAATACGTGAAGCAAAGAATGAAACAGGCAACAGGAAAAGACATAACTACTTCTCTACAGCCCATGGGCCAGGTGGCAGCGCTTACTACAATGCAGCCTACCCACTATCTAAAGACTCAGTGACCCACCCTGGACTGATGGCCTCTTCCGGGACACAGACAGAATCTGCAATACAGGAATCCCGGTAATCCTGCATTCTTCGTGTGTCCATTATCATCAGGGTGATGTTTTTATCTGTCATCATTGTGTACAGTTCCTTTGCTGTGACTGCTCCTTGGAATGGAGAGACAGTGTAAGTGACAAGAGACACCAGTTCCAGGCACGAGCCTATCATTAAACACAGGACAAACACAGCTTCTTCTAGAACAGCAAAGTGTACTCAGAATCACACTTGCTTTCTCATCATACCACTGATTATCTCTTAACCTAACATCAGATGTAATCCATGTTAATATTTAAGTACCTAGAAACCAGGGTCATGTTTTGTTTACAAAGTGTTAAATGTCAAAACTTCAGCTCTGTGGTAGAATGCTTGCTTAGCATTTGCAAGGCCATGGGTTTAATCCCCAGCACCACCAAAAAAGGAAAAAAAAAATTAAAACATGCTCTTGGGGTTACACCCGGTGTTGGCTGTTACTGGTATAAAATAAGGAAAATTAATGTGTATCTTATGAAAATAATTCTTTTTTGTTTGTTTTTTTTTTGGTACCGGGGATCAAACTCGGGTCCTTGCGCTTGTGAGGGAGGCAGCAGAACCACTGAGCTAAATCCCCGGCCAAAATAATTCTGTTTTTAAAAATCAAGACAGGAGAAAATGGAAAACTTCATCAGAAAATATATCTATGGTTGAGAAATTCCCAAAAGGCTTAAATTCTTTTTGAAAAGTGGCTGATGGGGTGTTATTAGGTATATCTGAAAAACTTTAAGATTTTCAAGTATTTCTGAGTAACAATCCAGAAGCTTAGCATTAATGCCCCCTCCATCCCATCAGGATGACACGTTTCCCTGGCAGTGTGCTGCCTGGTGTGCTTTGGGCAGTGGCAGCTCACAGCACCCCCATGGCCCATGGCCCAGGGCTGACCTATCACTACCTGGCCATTAAGAAAGAGCCTGCCAATCCTCACTCTGCCTCATGCTCAGCAGTTGGCTCCTAGTCAAAAAGGAAAAAGATTATTTTATTTTCTCTAAGAAGTCCAACAAGAAAGAAACTAAGTAAAGCTACTGATGTTATTTATTTATTTAATGGGGGTGGGCCTGACAAAATAAATGTCCCCACATTGCTGTTTCTCCTCAGCTCTTCACCTAAAGAAAAGACTACAGTCTGAGGGAGCAGATGAAGCAACACACTGTGGGAAGGAAGCAGAACTCAGAAGCCTCTGGTACAAACACCTCACGCTGCTAACAGGCACCGCCGGCCCTCTAACCACTGGGAGCTTTCTGACAGCAAAATACCCTAAACAAGCCCAGCCTCCACTGAGAAGGGAACATCTCGGCAAGAGATGCAAAAGAATAAATGGATAAATAGTAACCCTGGAATAACCCAGTGAGGGCTTCTAAGAAGGCACCGTAGTCAGCTATTTTAAAAATTGTTCTACAGCAATATTTTCAGTAGAAAGTTTATATTAATGTTACATATAATTATGTTTAAGTTAAATCTTTGCTGAGACAGGAAAAACTTCTAATAGATGAAAACAATTTCCTAAGTCTTGGTTACAGACATATATTTGTGGCTATACCACCTACAGATCACATCCGAATTGTCAGTTTAGTTTTTTTTCCAGCAAGTGAGGAAGCCTCATAATTAACTCTCCAAACTATAGTCATAAACAATAACCATAGCTAATAAAAATTTACTATGGCTTACATATAGTAACTAGTCCAATCTTCACAATAACCCCATGAAACAGATTTTATTATTGTCCCCACTTTACAGAGGGGGAAATGAAGGTAGAGAGATTGAGTAACACATTCAAGCTCACATAGAATTCAGAGGAGCCAGTTTTCAAACCCAGGCAGTCTGACTTCTAAGAGTCCATGTTTTAAAACACTACACTAAACTGCACCTAGAAAAGAAAACAAGTACAAATCGTACCTTTGATGTTTTCAACTGCATGTTCCCATATTTTATCATGTTACGCTAAAAGTAATAATAAATATGCCCCATAGTAAATAGACATGGAACCTAAGGCAATTTCGATATAACTGTCTGGAGTAAGAAAAACAGTAAAACTTATACAGAGTCTGGACACAATGCTAAGAACCTTACTGTATAGAATCTAAAGTTATTCTGATTAAAAGGCGCTCTCAATAAAAATTTAAAAAGAGAACATACCTTTCTCTGCAGTTTCTTTTTTTTCACTCTTTTCACCATTGATCTATTTCATAGGGGAAAAAAAGTTTCAATTTTCACAGAAAAAAAAGGCTTAACTTTAATACTTCGACGAAGGGGGAAGCCTAAGAAATGAAGTGTACCAAGTAATATTTTATAAAAACACACATGAACAATAATGAAACTACCAGGTAACTCTGGCATAGACAACAGCTAAAATAACTAGCAGCGTATCAGAATCTTAGGACATTTCTTCAATTAAAGGTCAAATATAATTTAAAAGCACAAACTGCTATAGAAATTTAGTGTTGGGGCCGGGGATTTAGCTCAGTGGTGCCGCTGCCTGCCTCGCAAGCACAAGGTCCTGAGTTCGATCTCCAGTACCAAAACAAAACAAAAAAATTTAGTGTTTAATTAGAAAGTATTTCTTACAATTAAACAAATATTCTAGTATCCATTCAGTGCCCTCCATTATGTAATTAAAGGAAATGTATCCAAAGTGTTACTTATATAATTTATATTTTCTAACCAAGACAACCTGGGATAATCCTTTAAAATACTCATTTTATAGATGGGAAAACCAAGGACTCACCTGGATCTATGGATCAATTTACCACCACTAATAAAAACAAAATAAAATAAATGCACATTTATGTGCCTTCACATAGACTACAACATGAAGCACACAGTATTATCTGAGGAGCATTCCTGCCATAAAACAAAACTTGAAACTGACTGTACATTCAATAAAGGAAATATGGGAAATAGAAAATCAAGTAAAATGACACAAGGAAGCAGCAGCCAGATAGGCAAAGAATGCAGCTCATTTTCCAGAATTAGAAAGTCCAGCCCATGAAATGAAAAATGAGAGGATGCCTCATTTCTGAGTTCCTGCACTCTGTTCTTGAGTGCACCCTACATCCACTTCTAATAAATCCTTCTCGTGTCTCTTTAAAAAATGGAAAAACGAGAGGAAGGAGAATCTCAAATGGATATATATATATATTTGGTACCGGAGATCGAACTCCGGTCCTTATACTTGCACAGCAGGCAGCAAAATCACTGAGCTAAATCCCCAGCCCTCAAATGGATATTATTTTTTTGGTGCCAGGGATCGAACTCAGGACCTTGTGTTTGCAAAGCAGGTGGGAGAACCACTGAGCTAAATCCCCTATTATTTTAAAGCAGTGATGGCAAACCTTTTAGAGCTTTCAGTGATAACAAACAGCTAGCTGTGGCACATGTGCCATAAGTTCGCCACCACTGTTTTAGAGACTTAAGGGACATAACAAACCAAAGACAATCTCTCTGGTTTGGATCCTAATTCAAACAAATCAACTTGAAAAAATCATTTTAAAACAAGTACCTAAATCTAAAACTAGGCAGAATATTAGATTATATCAGAGAATTATTTTTAATTTGTGAGGTGGGAAAATAGGATTGTGGTTAAGAAATGTGAGATGTATAATGAAATACTTAGGAGTAAAATGGTACATGAACTAGAACATGATGTGAAATACCCTAGCAAAAGAGCAGGAGACAAACTTAAAAACATGGCAAACGTTAGTTGATGAATAAAGTCTGAGTGAAAAAGTTGCATTGTGTTCACTTTCCAAAATAAAAAGACAAAGCAAAGTAAAAATAACAGGGCCAGGGATTTAGCTCAGTGGTTCTGCTGCCTGCCTTGAAAGTGCAAGGTCCTGAGTTTGGTCCCCAGTACCAAGGAAAAAAAAAAACCAAAACAAGGTAAAAATAACAAAAAGCAACAAAATAAAGAGTTAATAAAGTTCCCTCCATAGAAAGTCCCATTATAGTTTCTCTGCCGTCCTCTCCAGTCTTGTTAGTTGGGTACAGCAGCCATCTGAGCCATAAATGACACTGCTTTAGCATGTCACACATGACAAGTTCCTGAAGTTGAAAGACCAGACTCTGTCACTTCTTTCTACATAGTTCCTAGCACAATGTCACTTCATCTTAATGAAACTAACGACCCACCCCTCCGAAAAAAAGATACCTAAAAACCATAAAATGCTTAAGAAAAAAAAAAATCAAAGTAGAAGAATTTCCAAGGATTTCAACAACGTGAAAGAAATTATATTTTGTGGGAGAACAGTTTGAGCAGCAAAGGAAGGGAGGTACAGTGACTACAGACAGGTACAGACTAAGCCCCTGGCAGCTTCTGGCAAACAGATGCTTACAAGGGGGACCAGGCAGAGGAAGAAGAGGGGAGGAAACGAGACTTCAGAAACAGATAAAACATTTGGCATCAAATAAAGCAGTATATCTAATCAATCTTTTACCATAAATTTCATTATTAGAAGGAAGAAATCTTAAAGATCATGTATTTCAAGACCTTCGTTTGGCAAGTGAGGAAACTGAGCCCCAGGGCCATTAAGCAAGTCGTGACTGGGCCCAGAGCTTGGATGCACTCAATCACTGCTCAAATGCTCTTTCTTTCACTCTGACTCAGTTTATGGTGGCTGCTGAAAATGTAACGAATGGACAAAACATATCACTGTAGAAGCTCATAAAAATACCTGGAATTAACTGAAGCTGGAATATTTAATTCAACTTCTAATTAAAACACCTCAAATTTGACCCTTGTAACCTAAAAAAAAACTTTAGAGGTATCTTAACTCCTCATGAGCAAATCACCTGACCAACAGAAGCACACTGACTTTACACAAGAAATGCGAAATACCTTTTGGGATTTGTTTTTGGAATCCAATACATTCTCCAGAGAACCTTTAGCTGCTGCACTGCCGTCCTCTCTTCCTGCTTCCTGCCGCTTCTGCTGCTGGAACTGCTCCTCTTCCTGTCTGTCCTTCTCTTCGAGCTTTTTCCGAACTTCAGCTTCTTCATATCTAGTTGAAAAAAGCAGCCAAGATGCATTTTGCTGGTGTGACAGGAAAGTGAGGGCTCACATGTCAGAGTCGCCCTCCTGCCCTGGGGCACTGGATGCCCATCCTGCTCTCCCTCCAGCCACACGCTAACCCACTAGACTTCCATGACAAGCCCAACTCACATGCGTGCCTCCCAGGACAGCCACGCTTACTCCAAACTGACCAAAACCTTGCAAAGAGCTACGCTCTGCTCTCCAGTTGAAGTTATTTAATGTTCTTTCCCTCTCACTGATTTCAATCTTTATGCAAAGTTTATTTTTTCTTTTTTCACGGTGTTGGGGATTGAACCCAGTCCCTTCATGATTCAAATCTGTTGCAATTCCCTTTTCAAAGGACCTATAAGCCCCTACTTCTCTCCACAAAAGAAACAGTTCAAACACCATGTCAGTGACAAGGAGCTAAAAGGTGTGCGGGGGGAGCCAGAATATCACCAAGGTCAATAGGTTATGCGTTTTTTTTCTTTTTTCTTTTGCAGTACTGGGATTGAACCCAGGACATTGCCCAGCCCCACCCTCCCTTTTGCCCAGGCTGGGCTCAAATTTGTGATCCTTCTACCTCAGCCACCCAGAATGCTGAGATTACAGAGATGTGGCACCAAAAAAGGCTGTTTGTGTTGTTTTGTTTTTTAAAGAAACACTACATTGAAATTTCTAATTTGTTGGAAGTTGAAGTTATCTTAATTACAGTCAGTAAATATCCAAGGAATTTGGAATTCTTCCCTATTAATTTATAAGCACGTGGCAGGGAATGCATGTTATCAAGCACATGCTGCCTTATTTGCCCTAAGTACAACCAGTAACACCTGTGAGTTTCAGGGGGGTGAGGGGGAGTGCCTGCAAACAGTGGACGGAGCCAGAGAATCATGTGGTGGATTTAGTATACTAAGACTGTAAACCACCTGTTACCCCTATGCTCAGGGATGCAAGTGAAAAATGTGTGTGAGAATAAATCAACTAATAGGAAACCTCTACTGTATGAAAAAATACACTACAAAAAAAAAGGAACCAAATAGAAATTCTAGAAGTGAAACATGTTTAAAAAAAAAAAAAAGGAAAAAAACCCTCATCTGAAACCTGGAGATGACAGTCAGTACTTACAGACCAAAAGAAATTACCCAATCGGAAGAACAGAGAACGATTTTAAAATAATAATAAAAGAAAAACATGGGCCTAGGGATATGCTGGGGGGAAAATAATCTGTGTATAGCTGAAGTCCCACAAGAGAATGAAAATGGGGGAGAAAAAATATTTTAAGAAATAATGGCCAAAACCTTTCCAAATTTTATGAAAGACATGAATTTACAGATGGAGGGAGCTCAGTGAATCCCAAACAAGAAAAATACAAAGAAAAGGATCCTGAGCCATATCATATCACAGTCAAACAAGGCTAAAGGGGGAACTTTTTTTTTATTTTTTGAGACAGGGTCTTGCTAAGTAAGTAGCCCATGATGTCCTTAATCTCCCAATCCTCTTGCCTCAGCCTCCAGAGTGCTGGGATTACAGGCATGTGTCACCACACCCAGCTTGAGAAAATCTTGAATCAAGTGAAAACAACATATTCCATACAAGGGATCAGTGACAGGTGATAGACACACATTTCCACATCAGAAACAGTGGATGCCCAAGACTACACAGTATCCTTAAAGTGCTGACAGGGGGCAAAAACCAGAATCCTGTATATCTTGTGAAAATACAGTGGACCTTGACTTACAAACTGAATTAGTTCCCAAGGGCTGGTTGTAACCCAAGTTGGTCAGTGAAGGCTCAGGCTCCTCTCCACAGCCTTCAGAGTCTCTCTCCTGTATTCAGGCAGATCTCAGTGTCCTTAGAGAGACCCTGACCCAGGATTTCTCAGTGAACCCCACGCAGGAAAGGATGCTTTCATGTTCCTTCCAGGACTCTTTAAGGGTTAAGTCTGTATCTGAGACCATCTGGAAGCACAAGCGGCATTTGGCTCCATAACTCAATACTTTGGTTGTAACTTAAAACTAAAATTTTGGTAGTAACCCAAGTTGTTTGTATGTCAGGGCAGTCCAGTGTATCCTTTAAGAATGAAGAAGAAACAAGTAAAGATAACTTCTAATAAATGAAAATCAAGAATTTGTTCCCAAAAGATTTGTATTATTAGAAAAGAAAATGGAGGGCCAGGGATTTAGCTCAGTGGCTCACGCACCTCCCTCACAAGAGCAAGGTCCTGAGTTCAATCCCCATATCAAAAAAAGAAAAAGAAAGAAATGCTAATGGAACTTCTTCAGGCGAGAGGAAATGATTCTAGATAGAAAACTGTATCTGAAAGGAATGAAGAGAGGCAGAAACGATAAATATAAAAGGTACATTTCCTCCTTCTTAATTTCTTTAAATTATACATGCCTTTTGTGTTTGTTTTGCAGTTCTGCAGAATGAATCCAGGGGTGCTCTAAGCTACATTCTTAGCCAGGTTTTTTTCTATTACTTTGACACAGGGTCTCACTAAGTTGCCCAGGCTGGCCTCAAACTTGTGATCTTCCTACCTCAGCCTGCCAAGTATCTAGGACCATAGGTAAGTGCCACCACACCTAGCTCACATGTGGAAAAATTATAAGCCTACTATTAAGAAAAAGTTCTAGGGCCAGGGATTTAGCTCAGTGGTGCCACCACTGCCTCGCAAGCATAAGGTCCCGAGTTCGAACCCTGGTACCAAAAAAAAAGTTCTAATATATGAAAGCATAATATATATGACAACTAATGCATAAAGTATAAAGGGTGGTAAACAGACTTACATAGTTACAAGGCTTTTGTATTTTATAAGACTAGATAATATTATTACATACATATCCATACATCATAATATGGAAAGAGAAAACAGAAGACAGAAAAATCCCTACAGAGCTACTTTTTAAAAATTTAGTGTAGTTAAAACCTAGCTGATAGCATGGAATTCTACACAGAACAACTCAAAGGAAGGCAGGAAACTAAGAAATGAAAAACAGATGGCACAAAGAAAAAACAGTAAAACAGACCTAAGTCCAACTATAGCAATCATTATATTAAATATGAATATAGAAAATACACCAATAATGAGGCAGAAATTTTCAGAAGATCCAATACATGATCTCGACACAAGATGTACAGATAGGCAGAAAGTAAATGGCAAAAGATGCAAACGGTAAGCACACAGACTATGCGGCCATAGCAGTCTCCAGGATGCAGAATATAGCCGAGGTAGAGAGAAACATAACAATAACGAGGCCAATTCATTCGGAATTTATAATAGAAATGTTTATGTGCCTAAAATCAGAATTTCAAAATACATAAAAGCTGAGTTAACAGCAGAAACAAATAGTTAGAGATTTAACATTCTCTCTCAGTAATTGTTACAACTTTTACTTTTGAGAAGGGGCCTCACTATATAGTCCAGGCTGGCCTTGAAGAATGCTGGACTACAGGCCTGCCCCACCACACCCAGCCAGTAATGGTTACAATTTAAACCCTAAAACCTCAAATAAATAGTGAAGATTCCAACAACACTCACAATGTATCCTAAATGACACACACTGCTAAGGTCTGAATGTGGTTTGTGTCCCCAACTGAAGTGACCTTGGTGTTTAGAGGTAGAAGCCTTTGGAAGGGGACAGGGCTAGAGAAGGGCATGAGGGTGCAGCTGCCATGACTGAATGCTGGTGGCTTTACAAGAAGAGATGGCAAGAGAAAAGACTCCCGCCACAATGTGCTGCAGTCACACTGGGCCCACCTCAGGCTGCACCGTGCAGCTTGGACTTTCCACCTCTGAGACTGCTAATTCACTAAACTTCTCGTCTTTACAAAGTTAGCCTGCCTCAGGCGTTCCCTCGGAACAACACAACACAGACTAAGGATAGAGGACACCAGATTCAACTGCACTTTCTTTGCAAATACACACAGTACATTCACCAAGACAGACCATATGGCAAGCCATAAAACAAGAATACATTTAAAAGGCCTGGCTATCTATGACCACAATGAAATTCAATTAGAAATAAATAAGATACGGGCCAGGGATTTAGCTCAGTGGTTCCACTGCCTGCCTCGCAAGCGCAAGGACCCGAGTTTGATCCCCGGTACCAAAAAAAAAAAAAGAAAGAAAGAAATAAGATACTTCAAGGGCCGGGGATTTAGCTCAGCGGTTCTGCCACCTGCCTTGAAAGCACAAGGTCCCGAGTTTGATCCCAAGTACCAACAAAAAAAAAAAAGATGCTTAGAAAAATCGCAAATATTTGGAAATTAAACAACATACTTCTAAATAATGAATGCACAGGTCAAGGGAGAAATTACAAGGAAAATCAGAAAGTATTTCAAAATAAATTATTAAGCTCTACTGGGGGAACAGAATGCTCTTAGATTTACAAAAATCAACATGTTAAAATAAAATAAATTAAATGGAGAACAAAGTGAATGACAACCAATAGAACAGTGACAGTGAGCCTTTTAGAGTGTCAATGATAACAGCCCACTGCAGCACACGTGCTATAGGTTTGCCACCACTGTTGCAGGATTTAAAAACCAAACAGAGGCTCCCCGACACTGCACCTGTCCAGGCAGCACCCAGGGCTAACTGAACCCTCAAATCGAAGAGAGGACCAAGCTTCCTGGACACTCACTCCCATCTCCACCCTGCGCTGGTTGAGAACCTGCTGGCAAAACACCCGTCACCCAGACCTCAGGGGAACATCCCTCCACAGTGTTCTGCCTGTCTCAGGTGCCAGCATCTATTTCACCATCACAACACAGAAACGAGAGCCTGGGAACAGGGGAGATGTGCAGCTATTTCTCCTAGCACCTTCGCAGCAAATCATTAGAATGCTGAGAGAAGGCGCTGCAAAACAAGTCTGCTTCCAGGTGATAATGGCAACAGCACACACTTACTGAGCAGCTTTCCATGCCAGGCACCAATCTAAGTGCGTGCATGTATTCATTTGCTTAAGTACTCAAAAGCCCTAAGGAGGTAGGTCTGTTTGTATCCCAGTTACAGATGAGGCAACAGGCGCAGGAGACCAGTAACTTGCTGAGATCACACAGCCAGCAGTGGAAGGCTGAGATGCAAACCCAGGAAGTCTGGCTCCGCACATGTACCCTCTGCTCTCTAGCGCTTCTCTAGAAGCATTCCATGCTCGAACTGTCTGCCCTGGGAAGCAAGCACAGTCGGCCTGAATCCAATCTGAGGGCCGAAATGAAGGAACTTTAAGACTTTCTTTTTCCTGTTTTCTCCCGTCACTCCTCGTTACCTCCACCTTGTCAACTGCTCCACTTTGACAATGGACTCTTCGAAGCCGCTTACAGAGCTGGCCTCCTCCTACCTGGAGCTCCGGCTGGTGGTCTTAGGTGAGAAAAGGTACTCTCCCTCTGAGACTGACTTCTGGCTCTGTCACTGGCAGCCCAATCCCTCCTACCAGCACTCAGACACCTCCAGACTAGCGCACCCGTGACATGAATGTAAAGGAAAACGCATGAGTGGAAGTCTGACAAGTGCCTCCCAATGACAGGCAAAGCTGAAATCTGGTTTCGGTTTCTAGCCAGTGACTAGGTACTTCTCCCAATGCCTTCTGGGAATGTGGACTGGGCCTGCCCTAGGACTGAGGAGTACATACCATAATACCAGATGACTGGACAAAGTTTAGCAAAAACTTACCCTACGATGGTCAGGATTTTCACAGAATTATAAACTATCCTCCAAACTCTAGACATCATCTTCTCAATGCCCTTTCTCACACTGCTGGCCTGATAGAGAGTAACCAAGTACAAACTTCAGAAACTTAAAGGGAGGGAAAAGCTGTGTAGCTGACTTAGCAGAGCATTATTAAGGACAGAGGTGAAGATGTGTCAATACAGAGCTGCTCTAAATGTCAATCAAAGAAACCAAGCACACGGGCCAGAGGGCAGGGAGAAGACTCACAGGAGGAAACTGGAGTGGAAGGTCCTCCCCATGTAGTGCAAAGTAAACTGCACCATGGGAAAAACTCAGCACATTCAAAAAACCTTAGAATTAGGAAGGTCCTCAGAGGTCAATCAGTAACAGGGACCTCACTGCAAGATTTTCACTGTGCAAAAAGTAAATATTCCAATACTGACTCATTCTCAGTGACTTCCTTTATTAGCGGAAAAAATTTTTTTTGAGAAAAAAGTGCCAAAGCATTAAAGAAAATAATGTTTGCTTCAAGAAGAACCTGCTTTTGTCGCTGTAATCTACATGTATTTAATGCTCTGATGATGCACACTGCAAAAGAAAAATTCTCTTCACGTGAACCCTGCACATTTGTTTAAAGAAGTATCGGCAATGAAACACACTCGCAGTCCAGCTCCACCGAGCTCAAGTCTTCACACATCTTCTCATCAAGGTCTCCGTCCAGGAACCGGTTCCTGAGTTTCATATAAACTCTCCTTTCACCCCGTGTCTCAGATCTAGGTGCACAGTCTCAGAGTAACTAACTGCCTGCTGAAGAAGTCAGCAGCCACAAGATTTCCCTGGGCCCTTTATGACAAAAGCAGTGTGATGGCAACAGCAAAGACACATCCTCTAACAAAATCATCCACACCTCTACCACCTGACCTCAGCTGTTGAACTGTCCTTGTCATTGTCTTTGGGTTTTTGTTTTTTTGGTACCGGGGATCGAACTTGGGACCTTGAGCTTGCGAGGCAGGCGGTGGAACCACTAAGCTAAATCCCCAGCCCTTGTCTTTGAAAGGGCTGAGTGTAGTTCAGGGGCAGAGCACTTGTCTGGTAGGCATGCAACCCTGGGTTCGAGTTCCAGCACCACAAAATGAATGAACAACAAAAACTGTTTCAAACTTTATTTTTAAAAGAATACTTTTAAAAACAAGTAATATGATACATTCTTACTGAACAAAAACAATTTTTCTGGGGGGAGACAAGGTCTCATTATGAAGTTCAGATCTTGAACTATGTAGCCTCGAACTCATGGTGATCCTCCTGCCTCAGCCTCCTGAGTGCTGGGATTATAGGCATACATCACCATGCCTGGCAAAAATTTCAATCAGTACAGAAATACGTCAGCCTGCTTCAGTTGTCTGGTCTCCCTCTTTTATCTACCATTTGCATCATAAGTGTCCACCTGCCCTTCCTGCTAACCAGGCTTTGGCAGCCTGTATCACCTGAACGTGCTCTCCTATCTTCTTCTACTGTATCATGTTTCTGGGAATGCTTTCAGATGTATACAGTAACAAAATTTTTATGCTGTAGATATGGGCACAAATTTATCTATTAGAGTCTCCATGAAAGCACCGTGCTGTTCATAAGGGCAACATTCTAAATTTAAAGAATGACTAAAACCTGAAACATACTATTTTTAATTTGCAAGTATTCTGTAAGCCTGGTAAGCCAGGCATGGCATATATAGTAATTAATTTTTTAAAAATATACATATAACTTTTGAAACTATGAAAAGATAAAAAAATGAGAATACTTCATTCCCCAATTCTAGTATGGAGTAGCACAATACAACATGGGGTATATAAAAGAATTAAATTTACAAAGATCAAAACTTATGATGGGCCGGGGATTTAGCTCAGTGGTTCCGGTGCCTGCCTCGAAAGTGCAAGGTCTGGAGTTCAAACCCCAGTACCAAAAAAAAAAAAAAACTTATGAAAAACTGGACCTGGGTTCTAATCTAATCTACCTGTACTTAACCTTAACAATCTTTCTAAACTTAAGAACTTTCAATAAAGAATTTTAACACATGAACATAATAAAGGTGATGTACCAATTTTAATTTTTGTGCACCAGTTAACAAATATTGCTTCTAGGAACTGGGTATTACCTGCACAGTCACACATAAATTGACAAACCCTACGTATCATTTTTACCTTCTAAATTTACATTCTTTAAAAAATTTCAGCACTGGGGAATGTAGCTCAGCAGGGTAGCACCTGGCTGGCAAGCACAAGGCCCTGAGTTCAATTCCTGATACCAAAACAGCAAAAAGAAAAAAAGAGACCAAAAAAAGAAAATAAAAAAATAAAGATTTCATAATAATTGTACCTCAGTTTAAGGCTTTCAGAGAGTCTTTCAGCTTCTTCAATAGCTTTTTTGATGTTTGCAGGTCCGAGTATTGAATGAAAGTAGTCCTAAAATTGTAGGAAGCCACATCATACTGTTAGTACTGGCACTGCACATAGCACTGATGTTAAAAACATTACAGTCATGGCGCTTACATCAAGGAAACTTTACATGACAACAGTATGATAACTGAAGTTCCATTTTTTTAACTTTTAACCTACACAGATGAACAATTTATTCTCAAAACAGTCTCAAAAGTATTTCTTCATATCAGTAGTATGCTAACAAAAACCCCACCAGGTAATAAATTTCACTTATTTATAAGCCACCACTAAGAGGTATGAACAGCATTCTTTTTGTTTATGAACAGTACCAAAGAGCAAAGTTTTCAAGAGCAAAATGCATTTTCTTATTATAAGTATGAATTAAGTTTTTGTCTTCAATCTCAAAAGCAATAAAGCTAATCATATATAGCAATACAGCATAGGGTTTATTTTCTTTTTTAAATTGAGGTATTTTTGCTTCTACTGTACCTTGCAGTTGCTATTCACATCCCAGCTGGACTCAAAACATTTCTGACATATACAACAAGATTTACATTTCAGGAAACCTTGAACAACTAAAAACCCAATGATAGGAAATAAATCATCAACAGCATAACCTATCTTTAAAAAGACACAAAAGGTTTAATATGACATGTTTGACTAACAGCCATAACGAAATTTTCAAAAAACTAATTTACCACAAAAGGCCGTTCACTGTGGTGTGAGGTGTCCCCAGCTGGGCCCGGCCAGGACAGGACTCCACAGCCAAGATAACGGGAAAATGGCTCTGCGAGGGGCGCCTGCAGCACAATCCCTCACAAGTGCCACGGACCAAGACTTAAAAAGGGAGCACAGGAGGCCAGCAGCCCTCGCCACTGGCTCTGTGTGAGGCCATCATTAAGAGGGCAGCTGCGGAGCAAACTGTGTGACAGTGATCATCTACTCATTGTTTTTCTACTGATCATCTGGGTTTTTTCTATAAGAAGGCAACAAATATACTTTCTCTACTAGTAAGGGCCACTAAATTAACAAGTTCTACCTAAACTTTGAATATTCTGCAGTGTAAGAGTGACTGATTCAAGTTTCTGAAAAAAATTCAGAATACCTGATTTAAGGAATAATAACTAGAAAACAAACAGTTAGCAAATCTTTCTTTTATCTTTTTTTCAGTTTTGTTTTTTGAGACAGGGTCTCATTATGTAGTTCAGGTTGGTCTTGAACTCATTATGTAGCCCAGGCTGAGATGGAACTGGTTATCTCAAGGGATCTTCCTGCTTCAGCCTCCAATGCAGCCAAGACCACAGGCACAGGCTCCCATGCCCAAGCTCTTATTCTTCTTACTTAATGCGTGACTCACTGGCCCTCCACTGGACCTGGCCATAACTGATCACAACAGAGAGCAGAATGACCCTACACAGTGCTACAGACTTGTCCTACACAAGGCGAGTGAGCGGGAGTGAACAGGCGCACAAACACATCTGGAAGCAATGAAACCATCTCAGTTTGCTTTTCCTCAGAACTTGAACTTGATCTTGCAATTGCACAACAGGACCTAAGTGTCGTCGTCACGCTGTGTGGGGTAGCTCAAGAGCACAGCGCCTGCTTGGCATGGGAGAACTCTCAGTTCCGTCCCCAAGGCCTCACCCCACACACCAAGAAAAGTAATTTCAATGTTAGTTAAAGCTCTTAGAGGAAACCAGTAGTTGCATTATACCAAAATTACAAATAAAAATGCAAAAATAAAAGGTACCTGCTGTTGCTTGAAATCAGGTCTCTTTTTGATAAGGTTATAAACAGTCACATATTTCATATACAGTACATAAGCCCTTTCCTCATCGCGGTCTAATCTGCATTCTTCTGCTGCCTTGAAGATCTTCAGAGCACTGTGCACATAACTTAAAATGAGAGAAAAAAATAATTAAAATACTTGACATCTAGGGGAAAAGTAAAGGTCATATATGTAGTCCACAGATAATCTTTTCTCTTTTTCTTCTGCAGTATTAGGGATTGAACTCATAGCAAAGAGCTGTATCCCCAGTCCTCCTTTCCCCTTATTTTTACTTTTGAGACAGGCTGGACTTGGACTTGCAATCCTCCCGCCTCAGCCTCCCAGTGCTGAGATCACAGGTGTGTGCCAGCATGCCCTACCCTCAGTGATCTCCACAGAGGAGGCTGTACTGCTTCACACACTGGAACACAGATATAAGTTTGGATACAGGCAACTTCTACTTTCTCTGAGATGTGGGTAGTCTTAGAGAAACCACTAGAAAGGAATGATGTGTCTTGGGCCTGACTTTAAAGACTTTCCTGCTTGTTAATCCTGAGACAGCATGAAGCTGGCTTGATGGCTCTGCCTGCTTCCTGTGCGAAGATCCTGTGACAGCAGTGCAACAGAACTGCTTTCCCGGTCAACCCACCACCAACAACAACCGAATCCGAGAAACGAGTCAAGCTCCTTACTTCTCCCACAAGTGGTCTCTTCAACGTTCAGGAGTATCAGCTCAACCTGGAAGTTTCCTTCCAGACATTTAAAAAAGTTTTTACCAGTCTCTTACCAGCTTGACATTTTGTTTACTTTCACCTCCTGTTTATTTCCTTTAGAAAATAACTCCCTCTGCCTGGATAGGTTTCTTTAGGTTTCTCTGGGTTGGCTCTTTTAGGATTACAAAGAACACTTTTTAGAGTCTCCTATTTATCTCCAGTCATGGAACACTTACTTTCCCCCCTTAATTTCTAAAAGCCACCTTCCGCATGTCTGAGGAATATGGCTGACTAGCTCCATCTCCTTTTTACGACCTTATTTCTGACTCCATAATAATGTAGTTACTTATTTATCCCCCAATCTTCTGTTTCAGGCAAAATAAATCCAGAGGAAAATTTCTGTCTTCTGATCCTTAACAGAGATACCTCCAACAACAGATTAACAATTTTAGTGATTCCTTGTTTTTAATAAAACTATATTTCCAGTAAATATCCAAGTAACCGATGTGATATTTCAGTTATTTTTAACTTGTTTTATGAAAAGACAATGACTTGTGGCCAAATGATTTTTTTAAGACCTCCTCGTACTGTCTCATAAACTTATGACCTATTATATGCTCCCTGGACAGTAAGCATGTGGTCACAGCATATAATGTACTTGTGAACAGAACATACATATACTATGCCAACACAGAGAACTTCTCTAAGAAAAAGACTGTATCTTCCAAAAATTTTTAAATTGATTTTTCATCTAACTTGAATAGGAAATAAACTAAAATTATATGATTCAAACAAACTAACAAGGGATACATACTTCTTAGTGCTGATTTTCTCTGGCTTAACTTCTGTCTTCTTATTGAGGTCTTTTAGCGAAGAACTGAGATAGAGTTCTTTAGGAACTGAAGCCACAGCAGGCATGATGAATAAGCTTTACTTTACACTTTCAGAATGGATGAAAAATAATTCTTTCCTGGAAAAAACCAAACAACTCCACTAATGCACCTTCCTCATTAACAATAAAAACAAGCAAATAGTTTAAAAATACAACACTTCCAGGCTGGGCTAGGAGAGAGCAATTTCCTGACACGCACAAGGCCCTGGGTTCACTCCCAGCATGGCAAACAACAATCAAAACTAAACTTCTAAACTGTATCCTGTGCTAACAGGGTTAATTTTAAACTATCTAGTATTTTGTGTATTTATTAGTAGTACATATTTGTAGTACATAATGATTACATTCATTGTGGGAATTTTAAATCCTCTTGAATATTTATTTTGGGAGTTTAAGACATACTGTACTGGGTGAACAGTAATGTTTTCAAGTTTCCATTAACTAAACAAGTTACTGAAATATTTCTCTTTTCTCAGTGATTGCAGTTTGTAAAAGAAAACCAGTTGTAAGCAGAGCCACACAGTGTTATACAGAACTGGGAATACAGTGGACCCTTGACTTATAAACTCAGTCACCAAAACGTTTTTTTCTCACAACTCACAATTTTAACATTTTCACTGTTCTCCATCTGTACTTGCTCTAAGTAACTACAGACATGTGTTGAACAGAGCCCTTTAATTCAGAGTCTGAGACCTATGCAATCAGAAACAGAGATGTCACAAACACTTTCTGCATTTTACTTGCCACACTGGGCCCTGGTCTAAAGCTGAATAATGGGAAAAAGGTCTCTGGGCACCCCCATGACCCCCAGGCAGACCCACTGGCATCGAGTAAGTCCTTCTGGGATGGCAGCTTGTTCCCTAAGGCTTCTGTGCCAGCTAACTAAGAGAACAGCCAACGAAAGGCTCCAGCAGGGGTGCCTTGCATTTCCTCACAGAGGACAGCAAGGTTTTGCATTGATGTAACTCGCCACAGACTCACTTGCAAGACAGAAGCTGTTAAAGGCAGGTGTCAAAGAGGGCAAGGACATGGTTCCTGCTCTCCGGGGACAGAGCGTCACCCTGCCCCTCCCCACACTGGCGAGTGAAAAGTTGGGCTTTGCAGCACAATACCACAGAGACACACTGCTTGTATACAGCCAGGGAAAACTGCAGAGAAGGACAGGACAGGACGTGCACAAAATTCCATTTCTGGGGCAGGCAGAGAAAGGAATCAGGGAGACATCACACAGGGAGCTCAGGGTACAGGCAGGCTCTATTTCTCCAGTCGGACACTACATTCACTGATGATCATTTAATTCTAATGCTTCACACAAGTCGGGCATGGTGGCACACACCTGTCATCTCAACTACTCAGAAGGATGAGGCAGGAGGACTGCGAGTTCAGGGCAAGCCTAGGCAACATGATGAGGCCATGCCGCAGAAATTAAAGAAGGGCTAAAGATGTGCTCAGTGGTACACTGCTTCCCTACCATGCGTGTTCGATGCCTGGTCACACACTCACACACACTCACACACACACACACACACACACACACACAACAGGAATGGCCAGAAAAACATAAAAGTTCAGAAGTTACAGGTTAAACAAACAAACAAAATAACATGTGTGTATATATACTCATTTTTTAAAAGCCAGACTTGAACAGTGGAAGAAATGGACTGACACAGCCTTGAGTAGTATAGCGCCCACACAACAGTGTGAGTGGAAGGAGAGCACAGCATTAAGGAATACAGAAATGAAACTTCCAGGAGGTGGTGAAGAAAACCAAGGCCTTTGCATTGCCATATAGGCACTAGGACTGTGCACAAAGGCGGAAGTCAGCCAGAGAACAGTGACGGAGCCCTTGCTTTCTTCTCCGGCCCCACTACCTCAGCTGAGGTGCTGAGCTCACCCAAGCACAGAACGTCACTGTGTGCTCCCCACGCGGGCCAACTTCTCAATGCTTGTCCCCAAAGCCGAGGCATGTCTGCATGGAGACATGACTAGTAAAGCACACCAAGACAGGACCAAAGCCAGAGACGGACAGGGTAAGCCCCAGGGTGGAAGCATCTGCTTTTCCAACCCTACCATCTACCTGGGCCATCAGCACAGCGGCCTGATCACAGGATAATGTCCCCAGCCAGGCCAAGTCACCCTGATGACTCACCACAATTAGGGTTCTTGGCTGGGAAAAGAAAGTACTGATTTGAACTTCCTAAAATGAAGCTCTAAAATATGTACTCAGTTAAAATCTGTTTCTCACTATTTTAAAGATTGGATCTTTTTTTCCCCATTCGTGGTGAAGTTTAATTACACTTGAAACAACACAACAGAAATCTCAAAAGTTTACTCATTAAATATAGTTTAATTCTTACAAACTTCCTTTTGAAAATGTAATGCATATGTGCTGCAACTTCATAAGTTTAAATTCAAAATGAAATATAAAGGCAGGAGTCAGGGAAATCACATTAGATTCCTTTGTCAATAATCTCTACATATCAGTACATAGCTCTTCTGTGATATGGTAGGAAAAAACAGATCCTAAATGTATCCAAGTAAATGCAGAACAATACATAGCTATTTGAGGCAGATCATGCGAAAATATAATGTACAATTAGTTTGCATTTAAGATGGTGTATAATGCTTTCTAAACCAATAAAATTAAGATAAGTTAAATTTTGTAGCATTTGTTCAGTCTATTACTAAACGTTAGTTCATCTGAAAAGTAAATGAAGACTGGAAGAAGACAAAACCTGATCATTCTTATGCTCATCATTTTCTCAGTCATACTAAATGCAAACAAACCAATACAGCACCAAGATTTTTCACATATTAAAATGAAGACTAGTAGAACACAAAAAGGGAGTTTGCAGTTACCAATTTTTTCAAAAGAACACAGATTTACAAGGCAAAATAAACATCTGACTTAAAAATTCTGCTATTCAAGATAACTCAGTTGTCCTTTTTCACTCTCTGACACTGGTAAGGATTGGGTTTTTAAAAACCCAAAGAGGAGTTTGTAAAAGAAAAAAATCCTCAATGCTTTAAAAAAATTCAACTGGTTAAGAGTTCATACAACTACTGTGCTGGCTGGCATGGCAACAGATGCTGTCACCAAACCATTCACTTTGCAATAATAGTTGCCTCGAGCCAAGTAAACAAAGATGTAAATTAGCTTAACCAAGATTAAAACGTAAGTAATCCTTCAAAACTAGGAGCAAGACACCTCACCTGAAAAGATCTTTCAAATCACTGCTAGCTGCACTGGCACTGGTCATAGCAGTGGGTGGCTGTGCAAAGTTCTGTGGGTTAAAGAAAGGGTTACCCTGCATGCCGAAGGCAGCTTGTCCTATCATGCTCACCTGCGGTCCCACTACTGAACTGCCCAGACCTGGAGAACCTTGAGGAGGTACAAAGTGATTAAGCCACTGATTTGGTTTCTGTTGTGATAGCTGGTTCATGCTAACTTTGGGTTTCTGAGGACCAAAGAGATTATTAAGGGCAGACATATCAGCGGGTCTCTGTTGGGTCTGCTTCACGCCAGCGCTCAGAGCACTGAAGCTGGACGGGGTGGGAGGTGCTCCCACAGTCAGACTGCTCACTCCAGGGGTGCCTGGACTACTGAAGTTCTGGGTTGTGTTAGGTGGCATGCTGAATCCTGAAGTCTGAAAGCCCATATTGCCATTTAGGCCATTTGTCAAATTTCCCTTCGGATCATCAACTTGTGTAAACATCTTGCCCAGGCCCAAGGAAGGAACTGAAGTGAAGGTACTTGAAGCAAAAGGTTTGGGGTGCTGACAGAGAGGCTGCTCAAAGATGACATATTACCCATCAATGTGTCTGTCAAGTCCTTCGTCTGTTGTACTGGAGTGATGGTGGTGTGCACTTAGGGGTGAAGAGGCTGCTGGCTTTTCAGCTTCTGGGCCTGCTCCTGTTCTTTTGCTAATTTTTGTTTTTCTTCCGAGTGCAAGTGATGCTCTTTTATGTTTATTATGTAACACATCTTATTTTCTGATTCACCGCCAGTCAAAAGGTCTGTTCCAATGTTGTTAAAAACCTTGTCAATCTGATTCCTAGCATTTGTAACTTTTGTCTCCTCAGATGTATTCATTTGATTTCCCACATCCAAAGATTTCTGCTGTTCTTGCATTATATGAACTTGCTCCAGTTTAGTCTTATGGTCAGACTCCAATCTGCTCAGCATCTCTTTTATGATGGAAATGAAAGAGTTGAACTGATTAAGATTCAGGTTGTTTTCAATACTCAGGGGAATGAGATGAGGCAATATTTTCCCAGCCAGCTGCTCTTTGGTAATTCCTAACTTCTTATGAGTCAAAGTGCATTTGTAAATACCTAAAATTCCCACAAGGACTGCAGGTTCCTTGGATGGAATCTGTTGTAAGAAGGGCAGGACATCATCAAGTACAAACCATTTATCCAAGTATTCCTGTATCTTTCCTAAGCACACTAATGAATTCACATAGACAGCAAGGGAAGACGTTTGCAGATAGGCATTTTTAATTCTTGGTTTCAAAGCATTTTTCATGGATGGGTAGTCTGTAAGGTTTGCAAAGGTTGGAATGATGTTCAGACAGAGCTCCTGGATCAGGGAGGCACTTCCAGTGCTCAGTACACCACAGGCAGGACACTGTTCTTTATCTCATCGAGTGGGGTTTTGGTTAGCAATAAATCCATTTTTTGTAGGAAAATTAACAAAATCTGGATTGGCTCCTGCTGTTTAAATACAGGGCAAGTTCAGGTAGAATCAATCTGACATATTCTTCTTTGGTGCATTCCTCAGCAATCAATAAAACATTGGGCAAAGCAAAAGGAACCATGTCAGGATTCACAAATTCTTAAGTCAAACAAGGCAAAATTCTCTGCACAATGACACGCTTGGGAAGTTTTGGTAGAACCTTTGGCAGTCCTTTGAAAAACTGTGATTTCTGAAGATTCTCTCTTTGGAATAAGCGATCAAAACATTGAAGCGTGACTGCACCAACATCATCAAAGAAAGGAATCTTTGTCATTTGATCTGCATCTGTTCTTACAGTTGGAGTTACATTTAACAGTAGTTTCACGTGTTCGTGGACTTC